AGCTCTCGATACAGGAGGGACGTATCGAGAATGACTCGGCCAAAAATTTTCTAAGACAGAATTTTTTCTGAAAACCACTTTTTTCCACGATTTATGTCACCCTGATCATTATGAGCCGAAGATATTTTTTTCGATTTTTGAAGTCCGGATCTACCCTTCGATATACGATTTCGGACTCGACGGTTCCCCCAGTAATGCGATCTCGGAAGGCAGGCCTACCTTGCAACACGAGCTCGGAAGCGGGAGCTCTTGATCCAGGAGGGACGTATCGAGAATGACTCGGACCAAAAATTTTCTAAGACAAAATTTTTCAAAGTTCTTCTGAAAACCACTTTTTCCACGATTTATGTCACCCTGATCATTATGAGCCAAAGATATTTTTTCGATTTTTGAAGTCCGGATTTACCCTTCGATATACGATTTCGGACTCGAGGGTTCTTCCTTGTAATGCGATCTTGGAAGGCAGGCCTCCCCTGTGCAACACGATCTCGGAAGCGGGAGCTCTCGATACAGGAGGGACGTATCGAGAATGACTCGGCCAAAAATTTTCTAAGACAGAATTTTTTCTGAAAACCACTTTTTTCCACGATTTATGTCACCCTGATCATTATGAGCCGAAGATATTTTTTTCGATTTTTGAAGTCCGGATCTACCCTTCGATATACGATTTCGGACTCGACGGTTCCCCCAGTAATGCGATCTCGGAAGGCAGGCCTACCTTGCAACACGAGCTCGGAAGCGGGAGCTCTTGATCCAGGAGGGACGTATCGAGAATGACTCGGACCAAAAATTTTCTAAGACAAAATTTTTCAAAGTTCTTCTGAAAACCACTTTTTCCACGATTTATGTCACCCTGATCATTATGAGCCAAAGATATTTTTTCGATTTTTGAAGTCCGGATTTACCCTTCGATATACGATTTCGGACTCGAGGGTTCTTCCTTGTAATGCGATCTTGGAAGGCAGGCCTCCCCTGTGCAACACGATCTCGGAAGCGGGAGCTCTCGATACAGGAGGGACGTATCGAGAATGACTCGGCCAAAAATTTTCTAAGACAGAATTTTTTCTGAAAACCACTTTTTTCCACGATTTATGTCACCCTGATCATTATGAGCCGAAGATATTTTTTTCGATTTTTGAAGTCCGGATCTACCCTTCGATATACGATTTCGGACTCGACGGTTCCCCCAGTAATGCGATCTCGGAAGGCAGGCCTACCTTGCAACACGAGCTCGGAAGCGGGAGCTCTTGATCCAGGAGGGACGTATCGAGAATGACTCGGACCAAAAATTTTCTAAGACAAAATTTTTCAAAGTTCTTCTGAAAACCACTTTTTCCACGATTTATGTCACCCTGATCATTATGAGCCAAAGATATTTTTTCGATTTTTGAAGTCCGGATTTACCCTTCGATATACGATTTCGGACTCGAGGGTTCTTCCTTGTAATGCGATCTTGGAAGGCAGGCCTCCCCTGTGCAACACGATCTCGGAAGCGGGAGCTCTCGATACAGGAGGGACGTATCGAGAATGACTCGGCCAAAAATTTTCTAAGACAGAATTTTTTCTGAAAACCACTTTTTTCCACGATTTATGTCACCCTGATCATTATGAGCCGAAGATATTTTTTTCGATTTTTGAAGTCCGGATCTACCCTTCGATATACGATTTCGGACTCGACGGTTCCCCCAGTAATGCGATCTCGGAAGGCAGGCCTACCTTGCAACACGAGCTCGGAAGCGGGAGCTCTTGATCCAGGAGGGACGTATCGAGAATGACTCGGACCAAAAATTTTCTAAGACAAAATTTTTCAAAGTTCTTCTGAAAACCACTTTTTCCACGATTTATGTCACCCTTATCATTATGAGCCAAAGATATTTTTTCGATTTTTGAAGTCCGGATTTACCCTTCGATATACGATTTCGGACTCGAGGGTTCTTCCTTGTAATGCGATCTTGGAAGGCAGGCCTCCCCTGTGCAACACGATCTCGGAAGCGGGAGCTCTCGATACAGGAGGGACGTATCGAGAATGACTCGGCCAAAAATTTTCTAAGACAGAATTTTTTCTGAAAACCACTTTTTTCCACGATTTATGTCACCCTGATCATTATGAGCCGAAGATATTTTTTTCGATTTTTGAAGTCCGGATCTACCCTTCGATATACGATTTCGGACTCGAGGGTTCCTTCTTGTAATGCAATCTCGGAAGGCAGGCCTCCCTTGCAACACGAGCTCGGAAGCAGGAGCTCTCGATACAGGAGGGACGTATCGAGAATGACTCGGACCAAAACTTTTCTAAGACAAAATTTTTTCAAAGTTTTTCTGAAAACCACTTTTTTCCACGATTTATGTCACCCTGATCATTATGAGCCGAAATATGTTTTCGATTTTTCAAGTCCGGACCCGAGGGTTTCCCTATTATGTCCGTCCAAGTCCGCTAATGTCCGTCCAAGTCCGCCAATGTCTGTCTATGTCCGCCAATGTCCGTCCAAGTCCGCCAATGTCCGTCTATGTCCGCCGATGTCCCAAAAAACACGTCTGTTGTCTCATAGAATCCAAAAAGGACAGGACATAGGCGGACATAGACGGACCCGACACCCCCCCCCCCCCACTAGTTGAGTAGCGACACCCTAAGTTTGGTAGAAGAAGACTGCAAGTTAAAGCTTGCGATCTGCTGTTTTATACGATCTGCTTTTTTTGTTGATCTGAATCAATACGAAATGATATGCAGTGTCCTGTGGCATTGATAACTGAGTATTTCTGGAAAACCCCGTACATAAATTTGACCAAAACCCATAATCATGGGTAGAGTGGACCTGCAACAGTGTCTCTCTCTCTCCCAAACAAAAGAAAATGATATTAATTTGAATAACCGTCTGCAAATGCAAATTGATACCGAGGATGAAATCGGTCGCTCGCATTTCCTAGTATAGGGGGTTAAGTAGTATAGGGGGTCAATAGTATGGTGGGTTAATAGTATGGTGAGGGGGTTAATAGTATAGTGAGGGGGTTAATAGTATGGTGAGTGTAATGTTGACGGTCATGCTTGCCAACACTGTGATTTTCCAGTTTAACCCGTTTAATTCATGCCTTCATGAGGTTCGGTTACACAATATATTCGTCATTTAAATTAGCTGTAATGAGATTTTATAAAAGCCTTATGAAATCTACAGATTGTCGATTTCCCTAGGTAAATTAACACCTACACTCAGATCATGAACCTCTAGACAGGACCGTTTTAATAGTCTCACTAGAACTCATTAATTCCTGTTGAGTCATCACTTCATCTGGAGTACAATGGCAGGGTGCTGTCGTAGTGCTGTGTGTCTGTCTTGTAAATAAGTGGAGCTCCAGGTAGAGAAGATAAGGAATTACTGCAGATTGATAACAATTGAGTAGCACTTAAAGTGTGGCAGTGGAATTGTGTGTGGGGGAGAGGGAGGGTGGGGTGTCTTACCGTTAGTTTGCTCCTGATAGGTACCCCTACCTTGCACTGCAACTTCACAGCAGCCCCACCTTATCTCACACTTTCCAGGAACTAACAGGAACATAACACACGCCCTGACCGTACCAGGGACTTTAGCCTGCTGCCTCCCCCTGTTCAGGGTTTTAACGTTTAAAGTTAACCAGTTCCCGCCAAATTTGGATCCTAAATAATCTACGGTTATAAAGACCTGGAAGTTTTTAAAATTTGCGGTGAACGTTTACCAACCCTGTCTGTCTCTAGCTCCAGATTCGTGGCGTCAATAATCCTTGATCGAAAAAATTAGGTTCCACCAGCCTTTAGCGTACATCTGCAACTGGAATCGTAAGAGAGTTTTTAAACTGAAAGTTTACGTCACAAAAACGCCATCAAATGAAATTCTCCTCACTTTTATTGGATTGTCACACATAAAGTGTATTTAATTAAGCTGATGAAGGTTGACACCGTTACGTTCTAACTTAGTTTAACCAATATTTGTAGATAATTGTTCATACCATGGTATACCACGTACTTAGGAGTGCAGTATAGGGCTTCCAAATTAGCAGCTGAGTAGTCAAGTGTCAACTAACCAGAGAGATTTCATCATATGTGTGGAAATGATATCATTCTGACCAAACCGTTCTAATTTGCCACTCTGTGTATCATTGCCTCGCTTATTCGCTTGAGCAGCCACCCAAAACATCATAATGGGCCCTCCCAAATTACCTGGCTCTCCTGGTTCCATCATCAGTGTCATCAGCTCCACAAAAGGCTTTGTATCTCTATGTTTCCTAACTATACCAATAAATCAACTCTATCTTACTATATATAAAGCGAGACGATATATATATATTTATCTGTGCCATTTTACTGACACCACGGCATCAACTTTAACGCGAATTTCTGCAAAAGCTGTAAAAGATATACAACTGAAACTTTTTTGGCTGGGTCAAATGCTTTAATGGCCTCCAAATCAGCATGAAAAAATAAAAAATTGGCCAAAAAATAGGAGTTTTAGAGCCCAAAATTTGGTACCCCAAGTGGTGTCAAAAACGCGAATTAAATAGGTAATAATTGTTTTAGTCTCTTGAGTCTTGACACCATTTTAGGGTTAGACGGGTTCCTGCTAGTTAATTTAATCTGTGAGCCTATAGCAGCTTGAAGATTGTGTTATTACTACTGGTAATGTGGCGATTTGCCTAACTTTTCCTACACGTCAATGTTATTAACCCAACAATAACATCTTCTGAAGGAAATATTATGTTTCTCAAAATAGTGTCATGTTTGTAGAAGTAAAGGTCAGTGTGTAAGAAAGATGATAGTATGTAGTCTATTACACCGTGATGAAATAATGGCTATTTTCGACGAACGAATTACCTTTCTAATCCCCGGATCACAACAGAAGATCGGAAGTAATCGAAAAACAATAAATTTGGTTTGCCCGTCGCCGTCCGTACCTGCCACCATGAATCTTCTCCAAGTTTTAAAAAATGAGCACCCACAATTAGTTCAATTTCTTTTAATGTCTTCCCGTTTTCAGACGATATTTACGATCCGAGCCCGGTTCGAATACTGAACACCCGAAGGAAAAGAGCGGTTTCAAGTGAGACGAGCAAGTTATGGCCCTACGGCATCATACCCTACGTGATAGAGCCTGGCATACCAGGTGAGTTGTATTCAGGAGCTACTTGCAGCTGGTTTATTTATAAAGCATTGTTATAATAATAGCTTTATTCTTTTCACTACGGAGAAAAAGATGTTTCCCAGTCGCTAAAAATAGCTTCAGTTTTCATGGCACCATCATACTCAAGCGAGTTTTTTCACTTATAACGGGGGTGTAATTTACAGGAATTCATAACAAGATATACATATCATATTAGAGCAGGTCACTTAGGGTTATCCTTCGGAGGTATTTTGACGAAGGACTCTGTTATGAGAAATTGGTCGAAAGGAAATTCCGTTACAGAATTGATAACTATTTATAGGTGCATTTGCTTTTCAGTTAAAGTTCTAATAACACCGAGGATTTGGTGATCAAATCGCATGCGAATGAACTAAATTTACGTCTGTGATCATAGTCAATTTTTACGCTCTGATTCTGGCGGCATTTTTCCCTAAAACTCCCGTTTAGTCGGGCTCTCGTTTTTTACGAAAAATTGAATTACGTCTATCTAGGCTCAAAGGAACGGACTTTTACGCTAGGTGTACAGACATCTCATTTGTCATGCCTTGACAAGTCCTTCGTCGAGAACGTACATCGTTTAGTGCGATTTGTATGATTTGTATTCAGCCTCATAACCCCACCCTCGGATGAAATGGTTCTAATAAAACGGCTTCAGGACAATTAATTTGATAAGTTTTCCTAGTTTTCAGCCCGGTGGTTGCGATATTCGAATAAAAGCTTAAGTGGAGTATTAATCCATCTTTAAGCATCAAGGATCGTAATAATCCGAGAAATAAGAGAAAAATAACGATTGTATTATTTTTCAGATGATATTGTAAAGACGCTAAAAGATGCCATGCACCATTGGAGTGAGGAAACTTGTATACGGTTCATCAAGAGATCTAGAGAACACGACTACATTTCCTTCCATGATGGAATCAAGTTAGTGAAGTCTTCCTTCTGTTACTTAAACTGTTTTTTCAATAATATTTATCTCCTACATTCGACATAATTCTGAAATGTAGGAATTATATCGGACAAACCGCCTCCATCATGTTTTAAAACATTTCTCCGCCACACTTTAGTTATAGATCGCTCACATCAGACCTTCAATTCCTAAATTTTGTTGCAAATCCTAAGACGCCGATTCGACACAAAAGTTTTTTTGGTTGTTCCTGACCCTATAGAGCAACTAATAAGAGGTGATATTTAATTATTTGAACGAAAAGTGGTTTTGTGAACCGCCCTAACGTCGAAACGTTATAAACTTTCGACCTGAACAGTCGTGAATTCAAAATTTGATGTGGGAAAAATGGGGCAGGTGCAATGTAGTAAACCTTAATCCGCTGACCTCAGACAATGGCGTCTGATAACCATTGTCCCTCCCTACCCCTTCCAGAATTTACCACCAGATTTGCCCGCGATGTGAGAAAGCATCCCAAAATTAATAATTTGCCCCTACTCTTCGTAACACTAAACTCCTTCACTTGAAATCTTCTCGAAACCAGGGCCGTCTCCCTTTCCTAGTTTCCTTTCCTCTTATTGAACTGCTCATGGCTAAGGTTGGCTCAAGAACTAGTCCAGGCGCTCCGTGCCCTCGGTCTTCATGTCAAATATGATTACTGTAAAGTGTAAAGTACCAAAGAGTTAGGAAATTCAATGATTTCATAATTACAAGGCCCTGAGATTGGGTTTACCGTTCAGTAGGTACCAAGCTGGGTTGACTTCGTACAATGAACTCAAGGACCGATTTAATCAGAATTGTAACATATTGGATACTGCAATATTACCTGGGACCTCCTTGCACATATGGAACTGAGTCTGAATATATTGAGCTTTGAATCTGAACTTTAAATTCACTTACTAACGCTCTTCCCAGAAAAAGCATTATATCCTCCAAATCAACATAATTTTGGGATTAAGGGCAAGATTAATGGGATTAATATTTTAAAGTCACGCTTTTCTCGGAAAGACACCACAATTTGACCACTACCTGCGTAAGAAAAAAAATCGTTAAATCTCCAATCCTGTGTTGTTAAAATTCAATGTTTTTTAATCTCACCCTAATGAAGTTAAAACCCCTCAGCTGTTGCTCATGGGTAGGCAGAGTAGGAGGTAAACAAAGAGTCTCAGTAGGATCTAGGTGCAGCTCCTTTGGAGTTCTTATACACGAACTTGGACACGTGATCGGCTTCTGGCACGAACATTCCCGTCCCGACCGAGACTACTATATCAAGTGAGATTTTGTGTTTTTAATCAATAGTTCATTTGATTAAGCGTATTTCCGCCATAATTGACTCATCTTTTTGACGTCATAACATTCTTTCGAAAGTTTTGTGACGTCAAAACTTAGAGTCGTAATCCCTTTTGCGGCCGAAAGTGGCCTTTTTTCTTGTATCAAATATCAATGTTTTGGGAACGATAAAACTGAGGATCTGCAGATCCAGCACTCAAATTGAGTCATGAGTCTAGTACCCTACCTCATGTAGTGCCCTCATCCCATTTCGTATAATCCCATTACTTTAATGTGATATTGTGTATTTAATTTCATTTAAAGACTCTTAATTTGATAAATTTCCAGAGTAATTTCAGACAATCTAGTTCCCGGAGCTGTGAGAAATTTCCAAAAGTTACCAAACTCCAAGGTGAACTCTTTTGGAAAACTGTATGACTACGAGTCAATAATGCACTATGGACCGAGGTGAGTTCTGCTTCTTTTTATCTCATCTTCTATATAAACAATAGTTTTCCAACACCGCTGAGCTAAACATTATACTGTAGCACTGATAAGTAGGTCCTTCAAACAAAATCATATTAAGTTTAAAAGTGCGTTCAGTGCTCCTTCGCAAATATGCTCCAAAACAGATTAGGAAAAATTCTTACAATTTCATTGTTCCTTCCTAGAACTGTATTGCCTTCATATTTGTCTGACAAATGGGAATTATGAAGGACCCTTGAAGTGACACTAACTTCTAAAGTGTTAGGTAAATCTAGGAACTGTTAAATGCCTTTGTAAACAGAGCGAAATCTCCGTCTAAAATTCACCGAATCGTGACTAATTTGTTAAAGCAGTATCACTTCGTCTAAGCACCCTGACTCAGTCTAAGCACTGTGGAATGAAATTCAGACAGTCCGGTATTGAAGGATCTTTATATCTAGTATCTACTACAGTATCAAGGTAGCACGCTTTAAAACACCGTCCACTTTTAAACAAAAGTTATTTATAATTCCAGGCATTTTTCCTCGAACTGGAAGAACACGATTGAGACACGACTGGCGGCAGCGCAATATTACATCGGACAGAGAGATTATCTTAGCCCTGGAGATCAGGAGCAAGCTAACATTCTATACAACTGTCCTCGAGATACTAGCGGTTAGTCTGCCTTCATTATAGAGATCAGTTATTATTTGAGACACTAGTAGCGGTTAGTCTGTCTTCATTCTAGACACCAGTTATTATTTGAGACACTAGCGGGTAGTCTGTCTTCATTCCAGAGACCAGTTATTATTTGAGACCCTAGTAGCGGTTAGTCTGTCTTCATTCTATAGACCAGTTATTATTTGAGACACTAACGGTTAGTCTGTCTTCATTCCAGAGACCAGTTATTATTTGAGACCTTAGTAGCGGTTAGTCTGTCTTCATTCTAGAGACCAGTTATTATTTGAGACACTAACGGTTAGTCTGTCTTCATTCCAGAGACCAGTTATTATTTGAGACCCTAGCGGTTAGTCTGTCTTCATTCTAGAGACCAGTTATTATTTGAGACACTTGCGGTTAGTCTGTCTTCATTCTAGAGACCAGTTGTTATTTGAGACACTAGCGGTTAGTCTGCCTTCATTATAGAGACCAGTTATTATTTGAGACACTAGTAGCGGTTAGTCTGTCTTCATTCTAGAGACCAGTTATTATTTGAGACACTAGCGGTTAGTCTGCCTTCATTGTAGAGACCAGTTATTATTTGATACCCTAGTAGCGGTTAGTCTGTCTTCATTCTAGAGACCAGTTATTATTTGAGACACTAACGGTTAGTCTGTCTTCATTCCAGAGACCAGTTATTATTTGAGACCCTAGCGGTTAGTCTGTCTTCATTCTAGAGACCAGTTATTATTTGAGACACTTGCGGTTAGTCTGTCTTCATTCCAGAGACCAGTTGTTATTTGATAATGTTTGGAGTGGTGCGAGATCTCGTAAACTAGAGAGAAACTTAAATTGTGACGTGAGATTATAAGCGAATTATTGTATAAGTGGGTAAACTTTTCGAAAAACTTATATTATAATCCCCTAGTATTATAGTATACTAGTATAATAGTACACTCCTTGGATTAAGAAAATTTGAACATTGGTGGGTCTTACAAAGAACTGTGTAAACATTATGCTGTCCTTGAGGCATGAAGTTAATTTGACCAACAGGATTAAGATATCGCTAGAGTCGTGGTAAAACTGTGGATTAGATTACCGCCACATTTTAGTCGACCAACCTGGGCACACCTCCGTAAAGTGGATTATTTTTCATATTCTGTTGGTTACCCAACCATGACCTGGAACGACAAAATGTAACAGTTAGTAGCACTGCGGTTCTAACACATGGTTAATCTAGCTTGTGAAGTTTGGTGAATATCTAACCTACCACATAACCACCAAGATTCATATTATACCAAATTTAATATTGCGGGGTTTTACGGGCTATGGATTAGTCGATCAATTGGGATCACTCGGATTAGATATTGTACATATATTAGATTACCGATCGCAATTCACCACGATACATTATCTGGGGTATCTTGTTTTGATCGTAGACGGGTAATGATAAAAACTGCGGGGGATCTTCGGCACGTGCGTAAAAAGGGGCTAAACAGCTGGAATTCATCTCTATTGTGTGAGATCTTATCTCCAATTGTTGTAAATTGTTGAAAGAGATAATATCTCAGTTTTCTAACACCTCCTGTTCTAAAACGATTACCCCCGCAACTGTGTCTGCAGATTACCTGGTTATTATACCCCCAGCAGGTTACTTTTATACAAAGCCTGATAACGAGGTACAGAGAGTGAGATAATTGTCTGAGTGTGGTTTACAAGGCCCAATTTTAGGGGTTTTTGAGTGAGTGAGTTACGAGTGTGTGTGTGTGTGTGTGTGTTGTGTGTGTGTGATGTGTGTGACGTGTGTGAAGAAAACATCCTAAATAAAAGTTTTCCATAATCTAATACTTCATTATCTTTATCGTTCATTCCAATCCATTCCTGCAATAATTGTAGAATATCCCATAATAAGAACAAGCCCGAACGACGCGAGTTACAAATCACATCATCAAGTAAAATCTCATCATAAAACCTCACTTCATCAAATCACTGTACTTGTAGGCACCTGCCCTCCCATCTTTAACTCCGTACAATCTCTACAGATATCTAAATTTAACTCTGATGCAATTTCTCTCCCCAAGCCAGGCTGCTCCTCCATGATTAAGGAGAGCGCAGGACGGGTGACATCCCCTAACTATCCGAACAGTTATGAATCAACACTGGACTGTGTAACCCTCATTCGTAAGTTTTTTTAAATGAATTATATTATTCATTTTTGGTATTAGGAGCAGGGGAAACATTTCCTGGTTTGGTTTATTATTTCCTGTACAAGGAAGCTGTAGTGATTGATTTGTCGATTTAATTCGATATATAATTTATTTCTTATGAAATTCAAATTTTAACATACTTATTTCTCTTGAAATTATACGGTGAGTGATACGATTGCTAAACGTCCTATAAGGTGCGGTTGAAAGGCGAGGTTTGATTGGTGTTACAATCATATTCTTAGTATAGCTGTCTCCTATCTAATATGAGATAAGAAATGCTTAATCTGATTCAGAGAAATGAACTTATAGACGTGTTTTCCAAGAAAAACTATCATAATGTACGGATGATTAAGTAGTCCAGCAGTACCCTTGGCTTGGTAGCGTGTTTGCATAAATAAAGACTTGATTACATAATCTGGTTATGTGGCTTGCAGATTCTGGTGGGAAAGTGAAGCAATATATTTTTGACACGTGACACTTGACAGCAATTAACCAATCGGCTTCCACTTTTAACCAATCAAAACCCAGGGTCACTGTAACCTGTCAAATAATACGCCTTACCTCCAGCTCCCCACAAGAATCTACATCTATATGTTATTACTACCTGGTATACACGGTGAAATTGGGTGGAAGTTGTACCTGTTAATTTGCAAATGTTAAACTTAAACTGATATCATCTATAATGGGTTGTATCAGGATACAAATGAGCTGGTCGGCTTCACCACTTATCACCACCAGATTGTATCAAATCAGCTAGGATTTAAGGATTAGTCAATTAATCTGGGAGAAGAGGACTTCCTCCCTCAGCTTTCTGGGTAATGTGTTGAGACAAACCTATAGAACCACACATTATGAGACGTTTTTAAGTCACGTAAATCAAAATCTGGTCACGTACATAATATTCCATAATCTGACTCAGTATATTTTCAGAGCCTGACATGATGGGCTATGTTCTAGTAGCCCGCATCCTGGACCTCGAAATGCCGGACTCGCAGAACTGTTCAGAGGACTATGTAGAGATACGAGACGGTCCACACCAGGACAGCCCTTTGGTCACCAGGTAATGATCATCGCTTAAATAATGTGAAATCAGTCGTCCTTCTTCACAATACATTAAATTCGACCCCTCCCAAACCTTGTCTGGATTTGTCTTCATCCAATAGCTGCTGTCAGATGCCTTAACCGCACCCCAAAATTTAAATTGTGTGTCGCTGTCTGTGTACAGTGAGGCGGACAATAAACGTTCGTTGCCAACTTTTATCTACTTGGAGTGAAAGGAAGATGACCATCTGTAATGAAATACCTGGCAATGGTCCACCAAAACATGATCATTGACTTACTCTCTTGGTATAAATCAGATCAATGCCTATAATGAACTCTGTGAACTGTAGTGGGTAAACTCATTTTGCCACCAGGCAAAAGACCTATCACGAGATCCTGACCTCGTTAGTAACCTGGGCCCTGGCCTGGTTTATGTGGCCCTCTTGAACACTGAGACTTTTAATAAAGTAAATAAAAAACAACAATTTTGTACCATCCTTATATCCCTTTATCTCAGGCTGTGTGGAAAATCCCACTCCGACGCTATAATCTCGGTATACGGCACACTATTTATCCGGTTTCGATCTGACTCCGCCGGCTCTGGAAGAGGCTTCCTTCTGGAGTTTGAAACAGAAGACTTTGACGAGTGTGTAACTAACAACGGGGGCTGCTCCCACTTCTGCCACAACACTATCGGGAGTTTCTACTGCTCCTGTCCTCAGGGCATGACGCTCTCCAAAAGAGGCGACTATTGTATCGGTAAGTGGGCCGCTCTGTGAGAGCTTTCTCCTTTCAGCTGTCTGTCTCTGATTTGACCGCGACTAACGGCCTGTGATTCCATGCTGTCTGCATTATCTAAATTCCTTTGATAATGAATGTTGATATTCCCTTCATTGTGTCTGGAACTCTTTATCAATTACTTACACAAATTGCCAGACTCAATCTAATTATAGTTCTAATTATAGTTATACGTAGTACACGATAGATTATCATTTCTCATCTCTAGTAGTGTTACCCATATTACCGACTGTAATCAGTGGTCTGGGACTTGATAATAAGGTTAGTACCGATCAATTTATGGAGCTTTAAAATTCTGATTAAAGGACTAAAGTCCTTAAAATTATAATAAAATTGCTAAAATTTGATTAAAATTCAGATGCCGATATATCTGGAAGCTGCACGGGAATCCTCACCGAAGATTCAGGAATTATAGCCACTATGGGATATCCTAACGGATACATAGGCGGGCTATCCTGCTACTGGATGGTATACCCTCCCCCAGCCAAGGAGATACGACTTACTTTCCACGACTTTGACCTTGAGATGGGAAATGAGGGTGACTGTATGAGTTACGATTTCGTTGAGGTGAGGATCTTTTGAAAGTACTATCTCTATCGTCAATTTAAAGCTAATACTGTATATTTGAGTTTTTCTAAAAAGTTGACTTGTTGTGAGACATCGAAGATCAAGTTTGAATGAAATGGTAGCTTTTTACCGATAGAATTTTGAGATTACTGAGGCATTTATGTCACACTGAAACGATTCTATTCCACCTCTAACTCCCCTGCCATAATCGTTTCATAATGATGGGCACACTTTATTGCTACCTGTGTACAAGGAATGCGTAAATAAATAAATTAAATTATTTTTACGAGAAGTGCGTAAATCAATTTTTGGTCCTAAGTGAAAATCGGAGCTGGTTTGAATCACCAGGACTGAAGACATCATCAATTGTCTCCTAGTAGTCTTCTAGCGGTCTACTTGTCGTAGTCCAGTGTCTGCAGTTCTTATGTCTGCAGTTGATTGGCTAACCGTTCCTCATCATCACGAAACGTCCTCCTCAGCACTCTTCTCATTTATTTTAATTTCATCTTCAACTCCCGTTCATTTATTAATAGGGTCTCCGAGGTCCTGTCTTGACCATAAGTTATGGTAAGACGAGACTCAAGATCGAATTAAATCGAATTTTAGAGCTTTAACACAATTTCCTTGATCATTGGCAAATTTCAGGTACAGCATTTTTCTTCATCATTCGATTTCATGGTCCTAAAATCTAATTTATTTATCAATAATCATTAATCACTCTAGCTTTCGTTCATTTTACATGCATAGAGTTGTAGGAAATAACGTCTCAAAACACCGATGGGGGCACTCTGTACCTCATCCATCGTCATTATTTATCGATAAGAAAATATCTGTTTTTCGGGATTGAAAATGCTTAAGCAGGCTAGGGATATTATATTCTTTTAATTAACATCCCTTTTTTAATACTGAAAATGAACAGCCTAATCCAGATGATACTTGCTTTTCTTGGGAATTCTAGAAGAATTAGCTCATGAACTATGTTCGCTGTCTATTTCAATGAGTTAAGTCGAGATCTTAGGCTTAGCGTTTGATATTTTTAAGCATTTTTAGAAGGGAGACCAATCAATATTATAAGAAGACTTGTTTTGTCAGATAATTCAGACTAAAACACTTCAACAGTTACATTTTCGAGAATTAATTGCCCAGAATTCTTAAAGAATTTGCTGATGCTTTGCAAAACTACAAAGTGCATCGGACTCCTCGCTCACTCTGATATTATTATGAGTTTTAAACACCTAACGGTCGATCCTAATTAGATGAACGGAGACCAGTACTCGTTCAGTGGACCTCTTCACGGACGTTTCAAAGCTGGATCTTCTCATGAAAATGTACATGATCGAGTTTTGGAATTGAGGTTTAGGTATTTGGTGAGCACCCGTGCCTGGTATTAAATGCTTTAAGTGATCCAGGCTTGCAAAGAACTGACTTCCCTTGACACTTCTATCGAGCGAATTGCCTATTTCCTCCATTAGATAAGACTTAAGAGTGAGCCTTCTTTTAGACTCTAGTGTAAGTGTTGCTGCTCTATCGCCCACAAAATGTCTGGGAGGAGTAATCCTCATTGAGTTCATTCTGCATAACTTTGCTTGGAGTAGTACCACATTGCCGCACTGTAGCTCATATCATCGCTGATAGTGCGGCGCTGCAGGGCGATATCTTGCGTACCGGGTGCTTTTCACCAAACACTCCGAGGAATTTCCCCAAGGCTTTAATGACAAGTGTTTGTAGCCTCGATACAGTTCTCTCCCAGACAGTAAGAGTGAGCAAAAGTTCTATTTATATGGAGGAAATTCAAAAAATATTTCCTTGTGTTTAATATCATGGAATGAAGGTATCTTTTTTGGTCAAATGAGATCCGTCCACGCATACTTTGGATCGTTCAAGATTATTGAGCAATTTTATCGAATAAAATACCACAAAAATTATTAGACGAAACATTTCGCGAGATTTGGACCAAACTGTTAATTTCAACAGGCTTATCCGATAATTGAGGCTATTGAAAATTTATGTGTCCTTGATCTAACATCAATAGAATTAGTGTTTAACAGTTCGAAATTTCGCGTCAATAATATTATTCAATCAAAGATAATTTAGTTAGGAATGTAAATTTCAAGCCGGTAATAGAACCTGCAAATTATGGTGCGAAGAGTTGACCTAACGGCTAATTCATCACATCCTTATATCGGGTATTAAATCTAACAAACCTCTCTTGATTCATGGTGACTATTGACTAACCAACTACATTTCAGATTTCTACAGGAAGTGGTTCCTTACCACGGAGGTATTGCGGTAAAACACTGCCTGAGCCCATAACCGTCAACGGCACCAGAATATCTCTGCGGTTCAGCTCAGATAACATGTTATCAGGCCGCGGATTCTTTGCTACCTACACCACCGTCACCGAGGAAAGCTCCAGTGAGTAGTACCCTCATTTTGTCGTCTGGGACGTTTTTTCGGTCTAATCGGTGCCCGGGATTTATTGCTTTTCAGTCGCTATATTAAATACCGCTGAGTTGACTTCTCAGGATGATGTTAGAACGTGTGATATAACTGGAGTACTTGAGTTTCACAAATGAGTGTTTGTCTCGCCTATTGATCTAAACAGTCCAAATCAACGAATTTACGATCCAAATTATGGCTGATTGATAAAACATTCTTTGAAATTTTAAGTACTTTGTCAGCGTAACAGTTAGTCGGTCTGTATCTCTAGAGCAATTCGTCTTAGTCCTCAACCACTGTACTTCATGTCATTCAGTACGTGGCATTTACCAACATGATTTCACTATAAGTTCTTGGAAGTCGACCGTTTAGGAATCGGGTCGCTCGATTACCACCCTATTGTTAAGAAGTCCTCTTATCTCAACAAAACGTTGTCAGGGACCTCATTCTAATTGTCATGTAGGATTTAGATCACGTTTGAGAATGAAATGTGCCTGGCACAGCCTGGCTCGATCGTAATGTTTTCTATTCCTCTTCACCTTAATTTCATTAAATTTCCACCCGTCGTGCGAAGAGGAAATATTTAATTAATGAACGTGAACAACTTTGTCTCGATAAATTTCCAAATATTTATCCATCAACTAGGAGTAAAATCTTATATTAATTTAGAGTTCAAAATTCTTGAAATAAGTTATAATATTAATGTATGCAGGATCCACGTTTCATTAAATTCTAACTGAATCATAGACTTATAAAGTTGCGCACTCCCTGAGCACAGTTGGTATTTAACAGCTGCGGACAAACACTCCATGAACCAAAACCCTGACTAATGGCTAGCGTTGGTACTCCCATCACTGCAATATCCCAACTATCACGTACCTATTTTTCACAACTACCCCGCCCTCAGATGTACCAGTATGTGAGGAGAAGTTCTACAGCGTACGAGGTACTATTAACTACAGCAGAGACGGCAATGTTGTGTGTGATACCTACACCTACATCATCGCTCTACCTTCTTCCTTCCAGTTATCTTACAAATACAATGTGAGTACTTACTAATTAGTACTAACTGATTAGTACTTACTAATTAGTACTTACTAATAAGTGAGTCACTATAAGTACAGTTTATTGACCTGATCAAAGCGACTGAAATTTCTATTTTAATCAAAGTTTTGTTGCAATATTTTGTCTTGTAAACGTTTGACAACTGCTGCTGAGCCGCCAACTGGATTATATTTTTGAAATATAAATGTTATAGTTTTATTTCTATCCAGGGAAAGCTTGGTGCGAACAGCGATGTCTCAGTCTACAGATCCACCACGGAACTACTCACCACATACCGCCACACCACTGAAATAACCGGCTCTAAAACTCTCTCCAACTTGTTAAAAATCGTCGTTAACTCCACTCAACAAGACGACTCTTTCCACCTGTCTTGGAAGAGCAAGGACAAAGGTTTGTCATTGTCTATCATCGTTTAATTGAATTTAGAGACACTCTGTTAATTGACTGGAGTCTAAATATAGATATGATGTTCTGCACTCTATCCCACGATTATCCATCCTCATTCTCTATTTACAGACAATAGACATATTGTAAATTGGCTGGATTCTTAACATACGGCTGTTTTGTGTCATTCACTAGAATGTTCCGTGTATTTTTACTTCTGCTCAGTTCCAAGCTTAGAGCTCACTTAGTACCATGTGTTGACATCTTAATATTAATTTCATAATAAGTCTAAAATATAAATATTCTAAGACAGCTACAGTACAATATACGCCACGTCGCATGATCCAACGAGATAAATCATATTATCAAGTTAACATTGGAGGTTTATTCTAACTAAAAAGCAAGCTTAATCATACAATTAACTTTGAAATTATGAAAAAGCACTAGTTGTACAATTGATGATATATGGTGCTTATCAGTACATACCAATCTTTTTCACTACTTATATCAAAACAGCTCCTTAATTGATATAATATAGAGAATCAAAAGTAAGATTATTCCGGATAAGATTATATTAGATAGCAAATGTTTGAAGTTATTTATTTATTAAAACTGTTCATTGTCCAGGTATCTGTGGAGGTACACGCAGGGCCACTAAAACCCCACAAAACATCTACTCTCACCGAACTCTCAACGAAACGGACCTCGCACCCCACCAAACCTGCGTCTGGTCTATCAGCTCTAAGAACGGAGTGTCTCTGAACTTCCTAACATTCGACCTGGCTGGTGACGTCATCAGAGAGGACCCCTCTCAGTCCCGTGACGTCATCACGAGTCATCGTCTCAGGCGGAGGGGAGGCGGCAAGTGCCGTGTCAACTACCTTGAGATAACGGACGGTAGTAGAAAGGTTGGGCGGTTCTGCAATGAACGAAAACAATTGGTCTACGTCTCAAAAAGTAAAAATGTGAAACTGAAACTGGTTACCAAGAGAGACCCTGGAAAAGGTTTTCATGTCAAATTTTCTCGGTTAACTTGAAATAGCTGCACTTTTAGGTGAGCGCTCTGGGCGTTTAGTTTAATTATGATGCTGAAGTAAACGACAGGTTATGCTGTGGTGCGATGTAAAGATAATATTGTAAAGAATTGACTCATCGTGATGAGGATGAGAAGCTTGAATAATCTGGCGAGTTTTGAGACAAAAACTTGAAGTCTTCTTAAACTTCTGCCGACCTGACTTTTGTTAATTTGAATCCGCTAAGTAAGCCGTTTTAATGTCTGATAAAGGGGATTTTTTGGGGATATTGTAAAAAAACCCCATCTCCAAATTTACCAAATAAATATCCTTTTATCCCCAAAATCGCTGTTTAATCTCCATTATGAATATTAAATTATGCATTCTTGATGACTGAAGAAACGACTAAATGATTTTTCAATTGCCTGATTGTACTTTTTTCTCACAACTCTTGTTCAATTTCATTTTCAAACGACTTGTTGGATTGGCAAGTACAAATAACGACATGAATTATTTAGATTATTTATTTTTCTTTTGATTCAAATCCCACATTATGATGTAATGGACGTTAAACTTTGAATGTCCAAAAATAATGTATGATATTACGTTTTTGAGTATATTTGACCTAATATTAGTGGGATTATTTACATTTTATATTTGAAGGGAAGGGATGAAATACGATTGATCCTAATTTAATAATTACCCCGACTTTTCTCTTTTGATGTGACTGACATGATGTGACTTTGGAGTTAACCTCACGACAACCTTTGATGTTTACCCGATAATATGTCAGTTTGCAAAAAATAAAAAAGGTCCCCACAAAATCGAAATTGTATACTTATTTGTTAGCAGTTGACAAAAAGGAGTAACAGAACGTAATCGTTTTATCCTCGTCTTTACAGAAAAGAATTATTGCAGTGTCAGTGGTGTTTTTAGGTTCATTGACACTCTCAGTTTGCTATATTCTATGGAAAATGGAAATTCTGCATTTTTGACATGTGGAAAATGTCGAGAAAGTTTGATTTGAACTTATTATTCTTCAATGATATTTCATCTTATATGCTTTACCTTGTGTAGAATTATTTCAAAAAGTTATGAAATCGCTTAATTTAGTGTTTGATTTCTTATTCAATATAATTTGGTGTGTTTTATCACTTAAAAAAGATAAATAAAAAAACTTGAATTGTCTTTACGTGTGATAACCAATGCTGGTCTGACATCAATAATCAATAGTTTCCCAGGAAGGAATTGTATCTAAGTTATGTGATGTTGGACGACATTGGGCCAATCTTTGACCAGATGGACGCTGTGGTTCGTGGAGCAACTTTTGTCGTTTTTTGTAAGTTTATGACATTGACATATTACCTACACTTAGAGACCACGAACTGCCTCATTGCTCATGTCGCCGCGGCCGGGTCCGTTCGAAACGATTATAATCATAATGTTTATTGTTTAAAGGTATCATCCGTAAATTTTCCTAGTAAAAATCCAAGGTTTTTAAGGTCATTCGAGCGGAGACCATGGCCTATTGGGCGCCTATCGGGCGCCTATAAGACGCCTAATCCTATCGGGCGCCTTACCATGGCCAATACTACGGCACATGTTTGACCGTTTTTTAGTTATTTTATCGTAGTTATTAAAGTAGTGCGCGAAGACTTGACGGATGATACTCCATACTCGTCTAATTTATTTTTGAAGTATATAGCACGCTGCGCTTTCTTCTCGAAAATTTAGCCTGAGGCAAGTGCTACGAAGTATGACAAAGTGAATTTACTGCGCAGCTCATATCAGTGTTCATGAACACAGAATAGAAGTTCGAAATTTCCAGGCAATGTAATGCTACAAAACAATTGTCGTACAAAAGCTTACTGGGCCGCGCTCAGCCTGTCATTCCACCTAATCTCTATTTTATGTTTATGAACATGATAGCCTGAGGTCCCCAGGTAAAGAAAAGCCCGCATAACATTAATCAATAATGCGCGCGACGCGTTGACAGATGTTAATCGTCTAAATTTCTTCGAAGTAGCGCGCGCCGCTTTCTTCTCGAAAGTAGCGCGCGCTGGGCCAGATCATTAAACAATGGTTATCAAGCATGGCGCTCTTTTTAATTTGTAAGCTTGGCTTGCAATGCACATGACAAACAACGTATTTTGTTGTCATACGTTGTATGACCCGCCGCTCACGAGCATGCACGGCTCCCCTTGTATCATATTAAGAACGATTAAGGGTTGAAACAACCGTGGGCGGTGGGTTTCACGACATGGTACAATTGTATTTTCAATTTTGTATTTAAATTAAATAAAATTCACAAAAATGAAAAATAAAAATTAGCATTCGCGAATTAATTAGCATTCGCGAGGGCTCTGGTAAGTGCACGCGCAAAACCTTTTGTACTAGAAGCAAACGCGTTTCAAGTTGAAAAATTTGTGTTAGGCACCCTTTTCGTTCACCTAAGCCGCGCGAACTGAACTTGAAACTATCATTGATAATTTTTGCTTCGCACGCTCATCTAGATCTGAGGGAAAAAAAGAAAAAGAAAGGGGGGACCCCCAACCCATGTAGCTGAGACACCTCACAGCAAGTAGACCAAAGTGGCTCTTGCTTGTGAAGGGTGTATCAACTATCCGCCGAGGCGGTGGGTTGGGAGTCCCCCCTGGGATCATTTCTTCCGTAAAATTTTACACATTATAAAAGCTACAATAAATTATTTATAAAATTTACATAAACAAACTTAAGAGAGCTCGAAGCTCGTCTTCTGAGGAATGAGATTGAAGGATACGTCATCCAGTCCAAGGTGCTGGGCTTTTTGTCTTCCTCTGATTCCCCTGAGTGCTATGAGTGTGCTTCGTAGCAGATCAAACCTGAATCGTGTTCTGATGTGATTTTTGACCTGGCTCTTAGCTTCTTTATTGTGGTCAGCTATCCTTTCAGAAATACGATCTACAAACACAGTGCAGAGTGGGCCCATACCTCCGGATGTTGTAAAGACTAGTGGGACAAAGGACCCTTTCTCTGACTGAAGTACTCTCTCCTCATAGAGATCTTTCTTCTCTTTCTCATGCGCACTGTAGATTTTATCTAGTGGCTTAAATGTACTGGAGTCGCAATTAGGATGAGTGACCCTGATGTCAAAGAATGTTCTTTCGAATGGTGCATACAGTCCAACAGCTGCTACGTCCAGACGGGCTTCATCCTGGGTGTTGGTCTTCCTGGAGAATGAAGTTGGTTGGACAGGTAGGAGTGCAGGTTCTATCCTTACATCCTTACACTTTGCTTCTTGAAGGAAGAAAGCTGCAGTGTCTCTAATGGCATTGTGGCGCATGCAAACGTATCCACCTAATTTACAATCAAGGGAGTGGTAGACACTGTTTGCATGTCCGCAAGCACATTTAGAGGGTACTCCTTGGATCTTCCATCCATAGCGTAGGCGTATGCTGTCTTGGAACTCTTGCTTGTTTAGAACATAGTTGAGGTCCTTTAGAGGTAATACTGAAAGCCATGTTGATGCTCCCTTCTCTCTTGCTTGGTTTAAGTGGCTCTTAAGAAGATGATCTGACCCATTATAAAGCATCTTGAATCCTGATCAACACTCCTAAACCTTAAACAGGCCATGGAGTGCTTGTTAGGTGGGGGTCTAGACTGCTTTTTGTTGTGATGTGAATTTGTGGATTTTATTTTTATCGGGGGGGGTGTCACGTCCGTCTATGTCCGCTTGTCTCATAGAATCCAAAAAGGACAGGACATAGGCGGACATAGGCGGACATAGGCGGACATAGACGGACATAGGCGGACATAGGCGGACATAGACGGACATAGGCGGACATTAATGGACACCTAAATTGCTAAATAAAATGTTCAATTTTTGCTGTTATAGGGGGATCATGTTTTTTGTCCGTTCGGTACCCTATATTTTCAAAACGGACAAAAAATAGAGCGGACAAAAACGGACAAAAATGGACAAAAACGGACAAAAATGGAAATAACATTTAGATGCTTCCTCCTCCTACTCTTCCTCCTCCTCCCCCTGGGTCTTCCTGATCTTCCTCAGTCCTCTTCCTCCTCCCCTCCTCAGTCCTCCTCTTACTCCTCCTCCTCGTCCTCAGTCCTCCTCATCAGTCCTCAACAGTCCTCCTCCTCCCCAGTCCTCCTCCTCCTCCTGAGTCCTCCTCCTGGGTCCTCCTCCTCCTCTTCATCCTCCTCCTCTTCCACCTCAGCCCTCAGTCCTCCTCAGTCCTCCTCATCCTTCTCCTCAGTACTCCATCCTCCTCCTCAGTCCTCCCCCAGTCCCCCTCCTCCTCCTATTCAGTCCTCCTCCTCCTCCTCCTCCTTCTCAGTCCTCCTCAGTCCTCCTCCTCCTCCTCCTCTTCCCTCTCAGTCATCCTCCTCAGCCATCCTCCTCAGTCCTCCTCAGTCCTCCTCCTCAGTCCTCCTCCTCCTGGGTCCTCCTCCTCCTCTTCATCCTCCTCCTCTTCCTCCTCGGTCCTCAGTCCTCCTCCTCCTGGGTCCTCCTCCTCATCCTTCTCATCAGTCCTCCTCCTCCCCAGTCCTCTCCCAGTCCCCCTCCTTCTCCTCCTCCTATTCTTCTTCTTTGTAGGGGGCAGTGGTCTTTACTACTAAGGAATAGATCAAAACCACTATAAGAGCATTGAAGCCCTGTGCTTACCCCGGTAAAGTTAATCTGTGAAGAAAGCAAGGTTAAGCCTTGTCCTCTCCACATTTGGTAAAACGTTTTGTTGCTTGTATAAAGCCGATGATCCTTGGTAATGAGAACTTGTCCACTATATCTGTCACACTAAGGTAGAAGGAGTCAAAGTATCCTCCTCGCTGGTAAGACCATTTCGGGCACTGACCAATAAAGTGGTTCATTGTCTCCTCTTCCATGAGACTGTGTGGACAGGTTTTAGGGACAGTTGTCGGCTTGTACTTATTGATGTGATAGTTTAATTCACAATGTCCCGTGAGGAATTGTGTTGCTGTTCTTGTGCTCTCTTTGCCAAGTTTCGGGATTGATCTGGCGAACTTTTGTCTCCATACTCGTTTAAAGTGAGTTTTGGGTAAAGTTCTCCATCTTTCCCTCATCTTCCGATGACTTATACTCCGCAGTGCTCCCTTCCATAATACTTTTGGTATTGGTAGTTGCACTTGAACGAAGTCCAGATTGTCGGAGCCTTTTTTGGCAAGAGAGTCTGCCTTTTCGTTGCCATCGTAGCCTTTGTGAGCTGGTATCCATCGTAGTAGGACTTGATTGTCCATTGCTAGTTGGTTAAGCTCACTTATAGCCGTGCTGGTGCTTTTAGATTTGACTTTGATGTTGCTCATTGCCATTATTGTCGCCTGGCTATCGCAGTTTATGATTATTTTTCTAGTTTTGGTCCCAGATTCCCGTAATATTTTTGCCGTAGGCACGGCCTGTAAGACGGTTGAGTTGATTCCTAGGTGGTATGACTCCTCACATGTGGGGTTGTCGTTGTCCACAATGTACACTCCTGCTCCAACTTTTTCATTCATTTTGGAGCCGTCTGTGTAACATTGTATAGTATTGGTATCATTCTCGATTACCTCATACTCAGAGAGTCGGGGAATTTCTGTGTTGAAGCCAATGTCAACATTCAGTGATGTTGTCTGTTGATCTTGTCCTTGAGAGTTGAGACTGATAGCCTTTAGTAACTGTTCATTAAGTTTTGTGTGGGTGGTTAGGTTGCCCTTCTTCATGTCCTCCTCCTCCTCCTCAGTTCTCCTCAGTTCTCCTCAGTCCTCCTTCTCATTTCTCCTAAGTCCTCCTCCTGAGTCCTCCTCCTGAGTCCTCCTCCTCTTCCTTCTGAGTCCTCCTCCTGAGTCCTCCTCCTCCTCCCTCTCAGTCATCCTCCTCAGTCATCCTCCTCAGTCATCCTCCTCAGCCATCCTCCCCAGCCATCCTCCTCAGCCATCCTCCTCAGTACTCCTCAGTACTCCTCAGTCCTCCTCCTTCTCAGTCATCGTCAGTCCTCCTCCTCAGTCTTCCTCAGTCCTCCTCCTCCTGGGTCCTCCTCCTCCTCCTCCTCCTGGGTCCTCCTGGGTCTTCCTGATCCTCCCCAGTCCTCTTCCTCCTCCCCTCCTCAGTCCTCCTCCTACTCTTCCTCCTCGTCCTCAGTCCTCCTCATCAGTCCTCAACAGTTCTCCTCCTCCCCAGTCCTCCTCCTCCTCCTGGGGCCTTTTCCTGGGTCCTCCTCCTGGGTCCTCCTCCTCCTGGGTCCTCCTCCTCCTTGGTCCTCCTTCTCCTCCTCAGTCCTTCTCCTCCTCCTCCTCAGTCCTCTTCCTCCTCTTCCTTCTCCTCCTCCCTCTCAGTCATCCTCCTCAGCCATCCTCCTCAGCCATCCTCCTCAGTCCTCCTCCTTCTCATTCCTCCTCAGTCCTCCTCCTGAGTGCTCCTCCTCCTCAGTCATCCTCCTCAGTTCTCCTCCTCCTCCTCCTAGGTCCTCCTTCTGGGTCCTCCTCCTCCTCCTCCTGGGTCTTCCTGATCCTTCTCCTCCCTCTCAGTCATCCTCCTCAGTCATCCTCCTCAGTCATCCTCCTCAGCCATCCTCCTCAGCCATCCTTCTCAGCCATCCTCCTCAGTACTCTTCAGTACTCTTCAGTACTCTTCAGTCCTCAAAATGTTTGTCCGCTAATGTCCACCAATGTCCGCTAATGTCCACCAATGTCCATCCAAGTCCGCCAATGTCCGTCCGGGTCCGCCAATGTCCGTCCGAGTCCGCCAATGTCCGTCCTAGTCCGCCAATGTCCGTCCGAGTCCGCCAATGTCCGTCCGTGTCCGCCAATGTCCCAAAAAACACGTCCGTTGTCTCATAGAATCCAAAAAGGACAGGACATAGGCGGACATAGACGGACATGACACCCCCCCCTTTATCTATTGGGTTGGTTTATTCATTTTTCAAGGGTGTATATCCTTATAGCTAGACAATTACCATTGCTGAAACTACATGTATACTGCACTGTTCGAAACATTTTAATACAAATCCTTTCCATCCCCCTGGCCCTCAGTAATTTCGTAATATGTGTACGACCCCTAAGCCCCATTGACAAATTATAAAGGTTATTTAAACAATATATAATTATATATATAAATTCAATTAAATCTAGCTCCATGGGCTAGCACCTTCATACCTGTCAAACCTTGTCAAGTGCAATCCCAGTGGCGGCAGAGATGTGTCTCTTCATTGCCCTATAAACAGTCCATCAAGAGCCTTCTCTTCATCTGCTCCAAGATTATGGAACAACCTTCCTCAAGAAATCAGGAAATGTGTAAACATCAAGGACTTTAAGGGAAAACTGAAAGCTCATGATCTGTTTAGAAAGTCCTTTGATATGTACTGAGTAAATAATACATTACTAAAGAATTTTTTAAATCTTCATCCTATAGCAGGTCAATTTTACGCTTTAAATTAAATTATTCTAGGCTTCTAATTTTTCAGGATTTTCGGGCAACATCTTTTGGGTTGGCACCCAGGAGAAAGCTGCCTTATTCTTTGTATTTTGTCTCAAGTATTTTAGCATCTTATACCACTCTGTTTATTTCACCGTCTCTACTTGTATGTTGCCCAGATAATTTGACATGACTGTATTGGATTTTCACATATAAACTGTAACATCAGTTACTGTTCTGCAGTAAGCTTTTTTAATAATTTTCTATTGTATATTGAAGTATTCAGATTGTTTGTATATTTAGAATTCTATAGAAATTTTTATAGAAATTTTAATATTTTAGGAAATTTCATCTTTATTATCTTGTATATCATTTTGTTAGTCTGATGAGTCTCATACATAGATCTCTTGTGGTCATCATCTATTTTTCATATGTTTCGTTAGAAAACCTGCTAACCTTTCTTGGATATCTTCTTGTTAGGTGTATCTGCCTTATTTAGTCAGGATTTAACTTGCAGCTATAAACTTCCGTTTTTACTCCTGTCCAAGGCTAGATGCACGATCTCTACTGTCTTTTAGGTATCATTTACAGCTGAGCATAAGGGTTAAATTAAAATTATTTAACCTTTTGGTGCTGTAGAAAATTTGTTTCACTTTGCATGATGGCTGATGCTTACACAGATAGTCGCCATTTTCCAATTTTTTGCTTTTGTTATGCTTCAAAACGAGGGTTTTGTGCACTTCAAGTAGCCTAAATAATCATTGGAGTAACAGCTCTAAATTTCCAGGTAAAGAGATGGTCGTTCGATGGCTCCAAGATGTCGTGAACTTGGTTCAAAGACTATTGTTTGAACCATCTCAGATGTTGAAAGTAGGCTTTCTATGCCTTCTTGCTGAGTCATTCATTAATGTTCTAATCGTTGAGAAAGTGAAATATACTGAAATAGACTGGAAAGCGTACATGGACGAAGTTGAAGGGTTTATCAATGGTACCTATGATTACACTCAGCTGAAAGGGGAAACTGGACCTCTTGTCTATCCATCTGGATTTGTGTATGTCTTCACTGGACTTTACTACATAACTAACCAAGGAGCCAACATCAAACTTGCTCAGTATCTGTTTGGGGTGTTGTATCTTGTCTTCTATGGACTCATTGTCTTGATACTGAAGAAAACAGAAGCAGTTCCGCCTTTCGCATTGCTCTTCTTTACCTTTGCTTCCTATCGTGTCCATTCAATTTTTGCTCTGAGGCTATTCAACGACCCTGTGGCTATGCTCTTTCTCTATTTGGCTATCTACTTTTTTATCCAAAAGAAGTGGTTCATTGGATGTGCTATATTCAGCTTTGCAGTTTCCATAAAAATGAATATCATGCTGTTTTCTCCTGGCTTGCTTTTCATACTCATGGTTGAAGAAGGATTCATACAAACATGCATCTACATATCTCTTTGTGGCACAATACAACTGCTGCTCGGCTTACCATTCTTATTGGAAAACCCATATGGCTACATAAAGATGTCATTTGACCTTGGAAGGCAGTTCTTCTTCAAATGGACTGTCAACTACAGATTCCTTCCTGAAAATGTGTTCCTGTCTAGGTACTTCCACATTTGCCTCCTTGCAGTTCACATCGGACTCCTCATTGCAGTCTTCATGCTGAGATGGAGAAAGCTAACCAAACCTCTGGATGCCAAATCCATCCTCCTTATCTTGTTCAGTAGTAATTTCATTGGAATTGCTTGTGCTAGATCACTTCATTACCAATTTTACATCTGGTACTACCACACCCTTCCTGCACTGTTTTTCTCTACAAAGCTCCCAGTTCCCCTTGTCATGCTGATGTTGGGATGTATTGAGCTCTGTTGGAACACGTACCCTTCAACTGTACTGAGTAGCTCAGTGCTCCAGATATGTCACCTGATTGGGGCAGTTGCATTGCTCCTGCCTCCAAGGACTGAAAAAAGAAAAATATCTTAGAATTAGATCTTTAAATTTTGGTTTGTTAAAATTAATTAACAGTAATGGTAATAGCTTGATCTTCTCGATTGTTTGATTTCATTTGATTTCGTTGAATTTTTCAATTGCATTGCAATGATATTTGCCAACGATTGATTAAGAAAATTATGTTTTGATATTTGTGCAGTTTTTCATTTGAAGGTTTTAGCATTACATAGCATGATGTTCTTTTTACGATTTACCTTAATAATTGTCAATTTGCTGTGATTCCTTTTAACAATCTTACCTAATTTTTAGAATTCAAGGTTGAAATTTGGGATTTTTTTTTCATATTTATATTATATAGAGTTAGAACATAACACACAAATTTCATTTCACATGACATGTAATGATTATAACTATTTTTTCAAGATCAAGAATAGTATATATTTTGTTCTTAAAACATTGCTATAATATGGAGTGGTAGTACTTTCTTGATTTTATCTCATTATCATCAATTTATTGTTGTTTTATTTCAAAATTCTTGTTTCCCAACTTTATAATGAACTAAGCACTTGATTGATAAGTGTTAATCTCATTAGTGCTTATATTAGGCCTGATAAGTTATTCTCCAAATAATTTAAAGTCAATCGAATCTTGTACTAATTAATTCTCTAACATTGTTCCTAACACCCACACACACTGATAGGAAATATGGTGGTAATAGGGCGGATGCAAGAAGGGCAATATACCCAGACGATCTACACATACATAAAGCAGGCACAGTATGTAGAAGCTATAGACTGTCTCCTGCCAGAGTACGAGAATAACAACACTTCCAGAGCGGCTCTCTCTCTTCTGGGCTACTGTTACTACCAGATAGGAGACTTTGTCAGTGCTGCTGATTGTTACGGACAGCTTATACAGGTACAGAAAATCATGTTCATATGTTTATGTTATCTTGTGGCTATCAATATTAACATTTAACTGTCTCTCCTGTGTCTAAATATGGGCGCGATTTAAATCCTTTTCTTATCTTTCGTCGTGATACGCTTCGTTTGTGTATAACTACGTAATAATTCATTGTAACACTTAACTTTCAATAATACACAATTTCGTTTCTATTAATATACCTAGCCTCACAAGTGATCATACAGACTTAACAAAAACAGTACCCGCACGAAACACCTTTTCAAGCCTTTAAAATTAGACTCAGTATCTGACTTAAAACTTTTTCAGATATTCCCTGAACACGAGCAGTACAAGATCTACTACGCTCAGTCCCTCCAGAAGAGCTGTCAGTATGAACCAGCAATGAAGGCTTCTTTTACAGTTGACAGCCCCACTTTGAAGGAGAAAGTAGTGAAACTTCAGGTAGGTTTGCTCTATCTTTTCAAGATACACATAGATATTAGATACTTAGGTAATAGGTATTCTTTTTGGTTCAAGCGTATATTTTTGACTCGCACCAGCCCTATTCAATTACTCGACACCATGGAGTTATAACACACAGTTTCCCCCAACTGCCCTTACCTTTGATTATCATGACCCCCTTCAGGCTGCTATCAAGTACGATGAGGATGACCTTCCCGGGGCTAAAAGTATGGTCGAGCAATGTGCTAGTGATGACCCTGATACTGAAAATAACTTAGGTTTGTACGGCTAACTTTAAAATTAGGTTGCATCTTATAATGAATGGCTGGTTTTGAAGATAATTTGTCTTGATTTCAAAGATTTTACATACTTTTATTCCCTACGAAAGACATACAATATTATACTCCCCACTACAATCTACATAAAGTGCTTTATCTACCTCACTGAAGCAGAGTTTAAACTACTTTATATATTTACTCAGGTTGTTTACTGGTAAAGGAGAAACGCTACGCTGAAGCTTGTAAGAAGTTTAACGCGGCAATGAATGTGAAGGGCTACCAACCTCATCTCTCTTACAACATTGCACTCTGTCACTATTACATGAAACAGTACGCACTGGCACTCAAAAACATAGCTGATATCATTGAAAAGGGAATAAGGTAATTGCTAAAGCATCTTCAAACTTTAATGAGTCTCTTAACATCTGAATTATTCTGCCTCATTTCTAATTTCTATCTCACTTCCTTACTACTAATATATTATATATTATATACTATTAACTATATCACCCTGTAACCACCTTGTTACCAGGGAACACCCCGAACTATCTGTTGGTATGCAAACTGAAGGTATAGATGTTAGAAGTGTAGGTAACTCTATGACGCTCCACGAGACTGCGTTGGTGGAAGCGTTCAACCTTAAAGCGGCTATAGAGTACCAGCTAAAGAACTTTGAGGGAGCGCAGGAGGCTCTGACTGACATGCCGCCCAGAAGTGAGGAGGAACTGGACTGTGTCACTCTGCATAATCAGGTGGATATAGAAGTGTTCTGATAACGATGTAACGGTTATATACTATATAGTAACTGACTTGATTTATTGAAAGTTATCATATTATTCATTTGGTGATTATATACTTTTGAATGTAATAATAATGAAAATTGACATAATATTATAATCTTAAAACCATGCCCAATAATCTTGTTCCTCCAGGCTCTGATGAACATGGACAGTTCTCCCACGACAGGTTTTGAGAAACTGCAGTTCCTTTTACAACAGAACGAGTGTCCTCCTGAGACCTTTGGGAACCTGCTTCTCTTATACGTTAAACATCAGTACTTCGATCAGGCTGCTGATGTTATGGCAGAAAATACGCATCTCACTTTTAAGTAAGGGACAGATCTAGATGTATTTGTTTTTTTTTTGACTAAATGATTTCGGATTTAAATAATAAACTCTCTTATAAATGTAATGTTTGTATGAGAGGCCTTGTATTTATCATCACAAAATAAATATAAATTCTTCTCCCAGGATGGATCCGTATCTTTATGAGTATCTAGACGCCATCATAGTGCAGCAGTCATCTCCAGAAGAGGCATTCAGACGATTTGACGACATAGCTAACCGACACACGGACAATCTGAGGAAGATAACAAAACTAGTTCAGGAATGCAGACAGAACAACGACGAGGATGCGGTAAAGAAAGCGGTTAACGAGTATGATGAGGCACTGGAGAAATATATTCCCGTTCTTATGGCGCAGGTAACTATGGGACTTGAAGTATTTCGTGGTTCATCTAAGACAAATATTTCCAGGAAACCTGAGTCAGCATTATAAGATCCCAAGATCTTGTATCTGCGCTATCTACTTGAGCCTCCCTAGTTTTATAATTCCGTAATTCAAGATGATCTCCTGAATTAAAGTAACATCATGTGTTCTGACAGGCTAAGATATACTGGGACAAGACGAACTACAACATGGTGGAGAAGATATTCCGGAAGAGTGTAGAATTCTGTAACGAACACGACTCCTGGAAACTGAACGTGGCCCACGTGCTTTTCATGCAGGTAGCTGCTTGAGGGATTACTATCGCATTCTTCTAATTCCGAACATTTTTCTTAACTTTCCCCAGTACTCACATCCGCCGTCAATCACTCAGGAGAACAAGTACAAAGAAGCGATTGGTTTCTACGAGCCGATTGTAAAGAAACATTACGACAACATTCTTTCTGTCAGTGCGATTGTTCTTGCTAATCTGTGTGTCAGCTACATCATGACAAGTCAGGTAAGTGACCACTAGTCATTAGTCACGTACTTAAGAATTCTGGAGCGAGAAAAACATGTACTCGAGGCCAAACAATGTATTGTATATTATTATTCATTGTCGTGTGTTATCTTGGTGGATGTTCTATTTCGGACTACACGACAACTTGATATAATATGATTATATTTTGTCTTGTCGTCACTGTCAGATCTCCTGATTATCAAACCATAAGTATAACACTGTAATTAACCAGAACGAAGAAGCGGAAGATCTTATGAGGAAGATAGAGAAAGAAGAAGAACAGATGGGATACGAGGATCCTGAGAGGAAGATCTACCATCTCTGTATTGTGAACCTAGTTATTGGTACACTTTACTGCGCTAAAGGTATGTCATTCAGATCAACTATTGGACTGTTAAAAGTGCATTGGAAACTAGAGAAGGAGTAGCTAAGGATCCATTGGATCTATGCGATCTCCTCGGTCGACTCAGCCGAATGATAGGAAACTTAATTGAGGGTAAAATGAGCAGGGGTAATTGATAAAAGTTCAACAAACTTCCTAGGATACCCTTTCAGTGCATACTGTAAACATAGTACTATTACTATTACTATATAGAAAGTTCCATCTTCTAAGTGCTAAGTGGATTTATACAAGCTAGCTGGAAATATTTAAACTAACGCTTTAACAGGTAACTTTGAGTTCGGTATTACGAGGGTCATAAAATCGATGGAGCCGTATTCTAAGAAATTGGGTATGGATACTTGGCACTACGCCAAACGTTGCTTCCTCGGACTCATCGAAAACTTAGCTAAACACATGATCATGGTATGTATTTAAAATCTTAATTTATATTTCTACGATATTAAATATAATACTCTGAAAAATAGGCGTCCTAGCTTTATAATTGGTTTATAATTGGTTTGTAATTTGTAATTAATTAAATACCCCAGGTGAGAGACGTGGTACTGCAGGACTGTATCCAGTTTCTTGAACACGCTGAACTGTACGGTAAAAACGTGGCCTGTAGAATCGCTCCTCCGCTCAGCTCCGCTACCATACATGAGGTATATTGTGAAGCTTTTCACGAGAAATTAACTGATGATTGCATTGGATAAAATAAGAATAAAACTTACCCATACCACTTAAGTTACTAGTCTCGCGATTGAAATTGTTATTTGTGCCGTCACTGCCCATTCTTGATGATTTAAACAGCTATAGCCTTTAGGGTTTTAATACTATTTTAGGTTTTTAATACTATTTTATTTCGTTAAATCGAATTGTTAGCACAATGAAATCTTACACCTAATACCAATATCCGAATTTTCTAATGTGACCATATTTCTTATCTCGCAAACTATAAATATGAAGCAAATCGGTTTTATCTTCGAAAATTAGATTTTTTTGTTATTCCCAACGTATTCAAATGTTTGTGGAAACTGGAGCACTAAACTTAATGTTAAAGTTACAGGGGAAGAATACTGTAACTTACGAAGCCCGGCTCATCAAGGGACTCCTACTGCTAGTTTGTGACTTGTAAAGTTGTAAAACGCAAGGAAAGATCTTAAAAGGATAGCTCTAAGACCGTGGAGTGGGACATACACTAAATATATTATTTATTTAAGTTAACCAGATGTCAGATAAATGAGTATTTTTAATTTTCAGAACACAATTCTACCCAAATTTAGATCATATTATAATAAGTGCACTATGATATGCCCATTCTGTGCATTGTATTAAAACGACGCATGTCTCACCGTGTAGTGTATTATAAACATGTATATTGTATAATGTATATATTGTATAATGTATATGAAAGCTGTTGATTATTTAAGCACCTGTACAAATGTATTTTTTGTTTTGTCTATTCTCGTGTTTTACTCACTTTTTAAAGTCTATGTCCAATCGGTTACAGTTTAGTTTTTACTTGCAGTACCTCTGTGTGAGTATAGATGTTCAATACATTATCTAATAAACAACGATTTTAACCGTTCTTTCAAGTGGAGTGTGGTAATTGATTCTCTTGAAAGTACAAAACTAAAAGTTTTGATAAATGTTATAGCAGTATGGGGGTCAGGCACGAGTGGTTTCAGACGGAGCAGTACATAACAGTTACCATATTTGCAAAAGGAGTTACTCAGGACCGACTTCAGGTAAGAGTGGTCCAAAATTCCCATGGTCGACAACCTACTCTCGAATATCTTTTTTGCAGGCGTACAACTTTCTTATTGACTTGAACATAAATTGTTCGAGGGTATGATTCAATAATTGTGTTTTGTTGGTTGACACCATAGTTGAATTATAATATAATAATTCCTTCGGCTCTTCGGGCTCCGCTTGATAATTCCCGACAGCTTGCTGGAGGGAATTTGCGGCCCGAAGAACCGGAGGTATTATGTATTATAATATTTTCCGGTTCCGAATTGGAAGGGGTGTAATCCGATACGTGCGCATGATACAATATAGTGTCTAATATATAGAACGCCAGTGTTATTTGTTTTACAACTTGCCGCCAGCCAGTCTGAGGTCTATAATGATAATACCTTGGCTTCCCTTGCGGGATATATCGGCAAATTATCAGCTCTCAGTGTCCGAGACTTTTAGTGGATATAATTCCCGGAAGGTATTATAAAATATAATTTGCAGATAGTAATTGGTAAGCAGAATCTGAGTGTAATAGTGAAGATAGACGATCACGCAGAGTACACAATAGATACCATCTTACAGCACCCTATAGATCCTGATACCTCTTCCCATAAAATATTCAAAACAAAGGTTAGCCCCGATCAGAAGAGAATGCGGAAACGTAGTGTTCTAATTTGTCGTCTTTTTGATTTACCCCTTTTAGTATAATATATAGTATAATATGTAGTATAATATAAGTTTCAAGATTAAACTTTAAATATTGTTAAATGTCAAATATATAAGCAGAATATTTTTAACATATTTAATCATGTTTTTTTAACATATTTTTAGCATATTATTAATGCACTCTTCCACAGGTAGAGATAAGGTTATGTAAAGCAACAGGTGTGCGGTGGGACTCTCTAGAACACAAAGAACAGACGGATGCTAATAGCGGAAGAGCCTACCCAACCTCAAACCGTCGTGATCCCGTCGATTGGGATAGAGTAGAAGCAGAGGTAATGACTAATGAAGCCCAATTATTGTATTTTATGGTATCTTATAAATCTTGAATAGTTTTGGTATTCACTAAACTGAAACTATCCGTTCTCTGTTATTCAGTTTCCGAGTTATCAGTTATGTTGTTGGATTGATTATCAATGAAATATCAATACTTGCATAAAATCATCCTGCCATGAGAAGTTTTCATTTTTAGATTAAGTGGAGTTATAATACAAGACAACTTTTATTTAGTGAAGATTTGAATATTATAATAATCAGAAATAAATAATAGGCGATGAAATTCACACGCCACTGAAACTAACTGCTATATATTTAGTAAATATTATTTAACAAATAGGGTAAGATCACCACAAAATCTTGACAAATTTGGAACAATATTTTGAAACCAAGGCTGAACTCAGGCACGTTAAAAACTGGTCACTGTAGATATTTTAAACCCCGTTCTTAAATCATACAATATTGATCATACCCAATACATAAAACAGTGCCTATTCTTTGACTATTTTCTCAAGAACGGCTGTGCTTGCCTCAAGTTCAGGGATAGACTTTTTACACCTGTTTGTGTCCAGAACTAAACGTTGGAGAAGCAAATCTTTCTCGAAGAGTTCCTTCCTGGAAGATTCCCTGATATTGATACAGTTAGCGTTCAGTTTCAGGAACTGTTCTTTTGCAGCCTGAACTTTCTTTTCCCAGGTCTTCTTCTGGAAATTTACTTTAGCAAGAATATTGTCTAATTTGGTCATCTCAGTTTCATAGATCTTCTTGACCTCTTCTCTCTCGTTTTTGTTGTGTTCCACCTCCTTTTCAAGTTCTTCGATCTGAAGTTTATGTATTTCAACTGGGTCACATTTCTTTTCAATGTTTACTTTCTTGGTGCAGAGTTTAGCTTCCTGGAACTGCAGCTTCTGCTTGGCACGTCTCTGACTGTCGTATTCTTCTTCTTGTTTCTTCTTCTTCTCCTCATGATCTAGTTTAAGACTTGCTACGTTGCTTTCTATGTTTTTGTTCTTTGCGGTGAGAGCTGCGCTTTCCTCCTTCAAAGACTCCAGGTCCAGTTGTAGCCTCTCGATCTCAGCCACAGCTATTCGTTTGTCCTCGATAGTCTTGGTTCTGGTATCCTCGGTTTCTCGGTCGATAGCTCTCTTCTGAAGTCTGAGCTCTTCGTGGGTTGCTTTCAGTTGGTCCAGTTCAGTAGACATGTTGTTGTTTTGAAATTGGTTCCTAAAGAGTTGAGGAGTTAGTTTGAATTAACTAAAATAAAGTTGAGTACCTAAAAATAAATTGATCACTTTAAGTTTCTTATACAAATAAGAAAACATGACGATTGCAAACAGCCTTGTAAAGAACGAAAATAGAGTTTTTGTGACAGTTGTGACAAGTTATGTGACAGAGCTGTGACAAGACTGAACTGAATATGGTGCTAGACGCGAGTTTCTTACCGGAGTTTTTATACTTGCCACTATTAATTGAGCAGCTATCATTCCACCAATCATATCGTCTAACTTCTCATCTGTAATTAACTTTTAATTAAGATAGAAACATAACTTTTCACTCTCAATTAAGTTCATTGATAAGTACCTGCTGATAATCCCGGGCATAATTGAATTAAATCTCTGATATATGAATCTTCTGTTATTTAATTTACTATTGATGCTCTATGATATATATGTCTCAATTAATTAGAACCTGATTAATGATTATTGTCCCGGATAATATTAGATCAGGATATTTGAACCTTTTACAAAATTGTCAATCAATTAAAATTGCTCTTCTGTTATTTAATTACTGATATGGATGCTTTATGTTAATTGATTTCTTATTTGAAATCCGTGATTTATTATTTGAATACCGCGATAAGATCCCAAACGGAAATGAACTTTAAGATAGGCAATTTGTCTGCTCATTACTGTGGCAATCAGGGTCAGAGGTATTTTTATGTTAATTATTATTTTAGTAACTAACGACTTACCAACTCCAATCATTGTACATTCTGTACACGTGATGTCATTATTTCCTGTTCTCTATTCAGGACTAGTCAGTCCTCTCCATCATAATTCATAACTTTATACATCCCATATTTCAAGTGGTCGAAATTTTGATTTGCAGGGTGCCATTCTATTGGGGGATTATACTTTAATTGTTATTAATTAGTGTAGGACGAAGGTATCATTAATTATGAATCCATATTATAAATAAGGTATAATATTGTAGTTATATAATCAAGAGGCTTACATATGAACATATTGACATGGGTGTAGAGTTGAGCATGTACGGAACCTAGTAGTTTCAGTTCCTTGTTTAACTTGCCGTACAGCAATTCAAGGACATTCACTACTTTAGCCCGGCGAGGCACATAGTCTCAAAAATGTTCTGCCTGGCTGAATTGATGCTCAATAGATCCTCATTCTATGTCTCCATTCTGCAATGTAGTTACATTAAATCATCGTTATCAGTTCTGGTTGTTTTTGTATTCTGAAATTACGAAATTTAATAAACCACTATTTGTGTCCAACCTAAGATCAGACTGTTATTACAGGTATTATTAGCTTTAAAATGTTATCTCATCCATTCTACCCTCTTTACAGTGGTGTTCCATCGTAGCATAATAACTTAACCTCTTTACCTCAGGTCGAGAAACAGGATGCAGAAGAGAAGAAGGAGGGAGATGCCGCTCTTAACAACCTTTTCCAGAAAATATACGCGGACGGTAACGAGGATACTCGACGAGCGATGATCAAATCTTTCCAGGTGTGTTCTGATGTACAGTTAATACAATATGTGATTTAATTGTGCTTGCTTGCTTTGTAACTACGTAAAGATCCATTTTACTTGAACTCACTTATTTACACAGTTCATTTAAATGTCTGGATAATAACTGATGAGATCGTCACTGTTTCAGGAATCAGGAGGCACTGTTTTGAGCACAAACTGGAATGATATTGGAGCTAAACAAGTAGAAGTGAAACCTCCTGATGGGATGGAATACAAGAGTTGGAGTGAATGAACCCGAATGAACATACGACTACCGTACCGTAGTCCTGAAGACATCGAATCGCTTGGATGAACCGGCAGATTGCCCCGTTTTTTGCATCATGATAGGAAATTTTTGTAGGAATACCGAATATGTTTATTTATCTGGTTTGATCTGAGAAATTTCTGAGACTGTTGCTTTTTACTCGTTGTCACAATAAACTTTTTTGTTCACTAAATAACTATCTTTTAACGCATTTGTAGTATAAAAAGCATTCAATGTCATTACTGTGTCAACTTCACGTACGAACGTAACGTTATCTTACCTAAGCTATGATATTTACTGCGCGGCGTATATTGCACTGTTGCATTGCATGAGAAATTGAATAAGTTTGAGAGAAAACGTCAAACATTAGTCCACGGCTGTTCAGAACGTCGATTTCTGCGATTCTAATTAGATAGGATTACCCTAGGATTCATCCTAGCGCGTCCGAGATACCTCTGATTTTATCAATCCTAACGCCGATCCAGTCCCCCAGGATACCTCCGAGCGGCGATAGGATGTGTAAGTTCCGAGAGGCGATAGGATTTGCGCTCGGACCCGATAGGAAATTAATAACCTATCGGATCCGAGCGCTAATCCTAGCGAAGCTAGGATTTAACAATTCCGAGTTCCGATAGGATTTGCTCTCGGACCCGATAGGATACTCAAATCCTATAGGATCCGAGAGCGAATCCGAGAGGCGATAAAATTTCAAATATCAGGACCGATATAATTGGAAGACGACGCATATCTAACTGTAGGTTGAAACTTCATGCTTTCTATCAGTTAACTTCAGGATCATATCATCGCTTTATCTTAAGTTGATCCACAGTTGCCTGCAGGCTACAACAACATGGAGGTTGTTTAGGTTAAATTAAGTAGATAAATGATAACTTGAAGCTAACTTGTAGTTCTCTATTAGAGTTAACTCTAGGATACCTTGTAGTACTCTTCAAGTTAACTTCAGGATACCTTGTAGTACTCTTCAAGTTAACTTCAGGATACGTTGTAGTACTCTTCAAGTTAACTTCAGGATACCTTATAGTACCCTTCAAGTTAACTTCAGGAATACCTTGTAGTACTCTTCAAGTTAACTTCAGGTTACCTTGTAGTACTTTTTGAGTTAACTCCAGGATACCTTGTAGTACTCTTCAGGTTAAGTTCAGGATACCTTGTAGTACTCTTCAAGTTAACTTCAGGATATAACCTTGTAGTACTTTTTGAGTTAACTCTAGGATACCTTGTAGTACTCTTCAAGTTAACTTCAGGATACCTTGTAGTACTCTTCAAGTTAACTTCAGGATACGTTGTAGTACTCTTCAAGTTAACTCCAGGATACCTTATAGTACCCTTCAAGTTAACTTCAGAATACCTTGTAGTACTCTTCAAGTTAACTTCAGGTTACCTTGTAGTACTTTTTGAGTTAACTCCAGGATACCTTGTAGTACTCTTCAAGTTAAGTTCAGGATATAACCTTGTAGTACTTTTTGAGTTAACTCTAGGATATTTTGTAGTACTCTTCAAGTCAACTTCAGGATAACTTATAGTACTCTTCAAGTTAACTTCAGGATACCTTGTAGTACTCTTCAAGTTAAGTTCAGGATACCTTGTAGTACTCTTCAAGTTAACTTCAGGATATAACCTTGTAGTACTTTTTGAGTTAACTCTAGGATACCTTGTAGTACTCTTCAAGTCAACTTCCGGATAACTTGTAGTACTCTTCAAGTTAAATCCAGGATACCTTGTAGTACTCTTCAAGTCAACTTCAGGATAACTTTTAGTACTTTTCAAGTTAAATCCAGGATACCTTGTAGTACTCTTCAAGTTAACTTCAGGTTACCTTGTAGTACTCTTCAAGTTAACTTCAGGATAACTTGTAGTACTTTTCAAGTTAAATCCAGGATACCTTGTAGTACTCTTCAAGTCAACTTCAGGATAACTTGTAGTACTTTTCAAGTTAAATCCAGGATAACTTGTAGTACTCTTCAAGTTAACTTCAGGTTACCTTGTAGTACTTTTTGAGTTAACTCTAGGATACCTTGTAGTACTCTTCAAGTCAACTTCAGGATAACTTGTAGTACTCTTCAAGTCAAGTCAAACATTAGTCTAGTCATCAATCTAATTCGCCATATTAATACTTAAAAGCTCCTTTCATGATAAATTCAGTAATTAATCTACAGAAAGATCAGAAATCCTGAAAATATGGAGGTTTTACAGATTGTTTAAGATAGAATACATGCTTCAACAACGTGGCTACTGGACACTGGTTATAGAACAGATGGTTCATGTCTCATGAAGATGTGTTTACATGATATTGGACATATAAATTAATGGTGCATATACATCTCTATCGGTATGTTAAAAATCGGAAAATAATCACTAAAATTGCCACTTAGAAGTTAGAACTGAAAAGTAGTCAGTTGCCATCTTGGGGGGGGGGGGGGGGGGGGCAAAATCGTCTTTTGAAATTGAATGTGGGACAATTTTGTAAAACTTAGCGTTAGAAACACACTTTTTTAGAGATCTTACCAGCGTATCCTCCTAAAAATCACCTGAATTGTTCAATTTCAGGGAGGGGTGCCAAAAGGGGAGCGGCGCCAACGGAGGGGGGGGGGGGGGGGGCGCCAACAGGCAACGTTACGCCACTGGTCGGAGGAAGCTCAGAACAGAAAGCTTAACAAAACGAAAAGTTGTATTTTCAAAATTCTGTCCCATTTTCAAATATGAAATTTTCTGAACACAAATTTGACAGATTGGATAAAAATTTTGCCCAGAAACCAATTAGTCAGTTAATTTATGATGGTATGAAACCAAATTGAGGTACTGGGAGTCAAAATCCCGAATAAAATTGCAAAATCATATTGACCCAATATCTGTCCCATTTTCAGTTTTTGAAGATGAAATTTCCAGGACCGAAATTTTACAGATTTGACTGATTTCTTCACCCGCAACCAATTAGTAAGTCAACTATAGATGCCTTATGACACGACTGAGGTGCTGGAAGTTTGATATCGGTCGGAGGAAGTCCAGAGCAGAAAGCTTAACAAAACGAAAAGTTGTATTTTCAAAATTCTGTCCCATTTTCAAATATGAAATTTTCTGAACACAAATTTGACAGATTGGATGAAAATTTTGCCCAGAAACCAATTAGTCAGTTAATTTATGATGGTATGAAACCAAATTGAGGTACTGGGAGTCAAAATCCCGAATAAAATTGCAAAATCATATTGACCCAATATCTGTCCCATTTTCAGTTTTTGAAGATGAAATTTCCAGGACCGAAATTTTACAGATTTGACTGATTTCTTCACCCGCAACCAATTAGTAAGTCAACTATAGATGCCTTATGACACGACTGAGGTGCTGGAAGTTTGATATCGGTCGAGGAAGTCCAGAGCAGAAAGCTTAACAAAACGAAAAGTTGTATTTTCAAAATTCTGTCCCATTTTCAAATATGAAATTTTCTGAACACAAATTTGACAGATTGGATGAAAATTTTGCCCAGAAACCAATTAGTCAGTTAATTTATGATGGTATGAAACCAAATTGAGGTACTGGGAGTCAAAATCCCGAAAAAAATTGCAAAATCATATTGACCCAATATCTGTCCCATTTTCAGTTTTTGAAGATGAAATTTCCAGGACCGAAATTTTACAGATTTGACTGATTTCTTCACCCGCAACCAATTAGTAAGTCAACTATAGATGCCTTATGACACGACTGAGGTGCTGGAAGTTTGATATCGGTCGGAGGAAGTCCAGAGCAGAAAGCTTAACAAAACGAAAAGTTGTATTTTCAAAATTCTGTCCCATTTTCAAATATGAAATTTTCTGAACACAAATTTGACAGATTGGATGAAAATTTTGCCCAGAAACCAATTAGTCAGTTAATTTATGATGGTATGAAACCAAATTGAGGTACTGGGAGTCAAAATCCCGAATAAAATTGCAAAATCATATTGACCCAATATCTGTCCCATTTTCAGTTTTTGAAGATGAAATTTCCAGGACCGAAATTTTACAGATTTGACTGATTTCTTCACCCGCAACCAATTAGTAAGTCAACTATAGATGCCTTATGACACGACTGAGGTGCTGGAAGTTTGATATCGGTCGGAGGAAGTCCAGAGCAGAAAGCTTAACAAAACGAAAAGTTGTATTTTCAAAATTCTGTCCCATTTTCAAATATGAAATTTTCTGAACACAAATTTGACAGATTGGATGAAAATTTTGCCCAGAAACCAATTAGTCAGTTAATTTATGATGGTATGAAACCAAATTGAGGTACTGGGAGTCAAAATCCCGAATAAAATTGCAAAATCATATTGACCCAATATCTGTCCCATTTTCAGTTTTTGAAGATGAAATTTCCAGGACCGAAATTTTACAGATTTGACTGATTTCTTCACCTGCAACCAATTAGTAAGTCAACTATAGATGCCTTATGACACGACTGAGGTGCTGGAAGTTTGATATCGGTCGGAGGAAGTCCAGAGCAGAAAGCTTAACAAAACGAAAAGTTGTATTTTCAAAATTCTGTCCCATTTTCAAATATGAAATTTTCTGAACACAAATTTGACAGATTGGATGAAAATTTTGCCCAGAAACCAATTAGTCAGTTAATTTATGATGGTATGAAACCAAATTGAGGTACTGGGAGTCAAAATCCCGAATAAAATTGCAAAATCATATTGACCCAATATCTGTCCCATTTTCAGTTTTTGAAGATGAAATTTCCAGGACCGAAATTTTACAGATTTGACTGATTTCTTCACCCGCAACCAATTAGTAAGTCAACTATAGATGCCTTATGACACGACTGAGGTGCTGGAAGTTTGATATCGGTCGGAGGAAGTCCAGAGCAGAAAGCTTAACAAAACGAAAAGTTGTATTTTCAAAATTCTGTCCCATTTTCAAATATGAAATTTTCTGAACACAAATTTGACAGATTGGATGAAAATTTTGCCCAGAAACCAATTAGTCAGTTAATTTATGATGGTATGAAACCAAAATGAGGTACTGGGAGTCAAATCCCGAAAAAAATTGCAAAATCATATTGACCCAATATCTGTCCCATTTTCAGTTTTTGAAGATGAAATTTCCAGAACCGAAATTTTACAGATTTGACTGATTTATTCACCCGCAACCAATTAGTAAGTCAACTATAGATGCCTTATGACACGACTGAGGTGCTGGAAGTTTGATATCGGTCGGAGGAAGTCCAGAGCAGAAAGCTTAACAAAACGAAAAGTTGTATTTTCAAAATTCTGTCCCATTTTCAAATATGAAATTTTCTGAACACAAATTTGACAGATTGGATGAAAATTTTGCCCAGAAACCAATTAGTCAGTTAATTTATGATGGTATGAAACCAAAATGAGGTACTGGGAGTCAAATCCCGAAAAAAATTGCAAAATCATATTGACCCAATATCTGTCCCATTTTCAGTTTTTGAAGATGAAATTTCCAGAACCGAAATTTTACAGATTTGACTGATTTATTCACCCGCAACCAATTAGTAAGTCAACTATAGATGCCTTATGACACGACTGAGGTGCTGGAAGTTTGATATCGGTCGGAGGAAGTCCAGAGCAGAAAGCTTAACAAAACGAAAAGTTGTATTTTCAAAATTCTGTCCCATTTTCAAATATGAAATTTTCTGAACACAAATTTGACAGATTGGATGAAAATTTTGCCCAGAAACCAATTAGTCAGTTAATTTATGATGGTATGAAACCAAATTGAGGTACTGGGAGTCAAAATCCCGAAAAAAATTGCAAAATCATATTGACCCAATATCTGTCCCATTTTCAGTTTTTGAAGATGAAATTTCCAGGACCGAAATTTTACAGATTTGACTGATTTCTTCACCCGCAACCAATTAGTAAGTCAACTATAGATGCCTTATGACACGACTGAGGTGCTGGAAGTTTGATATCGGTCGGAGGAAGTCCAGAGCAGAAAGCTTAACAAAACGAAAAGTTGTATTTTCAAAATTCTGTCCCATTTTCAAATATGAAATTTTCTGAACACAAATTTGACAGATTGGATGAAAATTTTGCCCAGAAACCAATTAGTCAGTTAATTTATGATGGTATGAAACCAAATTGAGGTACTGGGAGTCAAAATCCCGAAAAAAATTGCAAAATCATATTGACCCAATATCTGTCCCATTTTCAGTTTTTGAAGATGAAATTTCCAGGACCGAAATTTTACAGATTTGACTGATTTCTTCACCCGCAACCAATTAGTAAGTCAACTATAGATGCCTTATGACACGACTGAGGTGCTGGAAGTTTGATATCGGTCGGAGGAAGTCCAGAGCAGAAAGCTTAACAAAACGAAAAGTTGTATTTTCAAAATTCTGTCCCATTTTCAAATATGAAATTTTCTGAACACAAATTTGACAGATTGGATGAAAATTTTGCCCAGAAACCAATTAGTCAGTTAATTTATGATGGTATGAAACCAAATTGAGGTACTGGGAGTCAAAATCCCGAAAAAAATTGCAAAATCATATTGACCCAATATCTGTCCCATTTTCAGTTTTTGAAGATGAAATTTCCAGAACCAAAATTTTACAGATTTGACTGATTTCTTCACCCGCAACCAATTAGTAAGTCAACTATAGATTAGAAGCTAGCAGAGAAAAACTCATTCATTCTGATCGTATTGTGTAAATACCGTAAGTGGTTCCCCTTCACGTTAATACTTATCTTCTATTTTTAAGGGAATTGTTAATGTATTCACTAGGGATTCCATAAATTACTTACGCCTCGTTGTGAAGTCCACACGAGGCAACATGTTATTCAACATGGCCTAGACTTACAGGAATCTATTCACAGAAAAGCAGACAAGCATACGCAAGCAACACAACAACTCTTGTGACTTGACCATGGTTCAGATTTCAGATCAATGACTTGAGCCTCAATGTTCGCAGCAAATAACACACTGCTGCGATGGCGAATGGTAATATATGTAATGGAAGCTAGCAGAGAAAAACTCATTTATTCTGATCGTATTGTGTAAATACCGTAAGTGGTTCCCCTTCACGTTAATACTTTTCTTCTATTTTTAAGGGAATTGTTAATGTATTCACTAGCGATTCCATAAATTACTTACGCCTCGTTGTGAAGTCCACACGAGGCAACATGTTATTCAACATGGCCTAGATTGACGCGTATACAACAGCTCTGCTAACCAATCAGCTTACAGGAATCTATTCACAGAAAAGCAGACAAGCATACGCAAGCAACACAACAACGCTTGTGACTTGACCATGGTTCAGATTTCAGATCAATGACTTGAGCCTCAATGTTCGCAGCAAATAACACACTGCTGCGATGGCGAATGGTAATATATGTAACTGTAAGGGTATTCAGTGGTGTAGTTATCTATATTACAAACCGTCTACGCTTAACAATGTGAAGAGTCGCTAGACAAGAGTGTTTAATATATGTCACTAATCATGGGTTGTGATGCAAATATGGGTCTTATACGTCTGACTAATTCATCATTAAAGAGCAGAGGTATTTTATACATATAGTACAAGAATCAAGATATAAGCTGTGAAATAACTTAAAATTTTATGTCGATACAGCGTACTTTAATTCTTATGGTCAGTTTCTTTTTATAAAATTTAAATTAAATAGCATCGATTCTTCAATTGTTCAAGTTTCTGTTGTATTTTTGATCTTATCCATTGAGCATCCTTTGATCCTTAGTAACAGTGAACTATTTTTATTTTTCAATGTGGTAGTGGTAATTTTCCAGATTTCATTCACACACTAAAATTAACCTACATGTTGATTTATGTCAGGGGACCCTTTCAATTAACAGATGTACGTGTAACGGTGTTACTACGACAGTGACTTGTCCTCAACAGCTATAAGAGATGACCATTGACCACTATCCCTCCTGCACCCTGCACCCTGCACCCTCCTGACTCTAATGTCAGCTAATACTGTTCAGGTCAGTCAGTTGATGCTTGCTTTCTGATTTAGATGCATGTTAACTTCCGACTTTTGTTGTTTATATCTTAGTTGATATAGGTAAAATCTATTGAACTTTAGTGGGTTTAGCTATTTTAAGCCCCCACCCCCAATCATGATTTTATTATAAAAGGTTTTTTTTTATTGAGAGAGGTTTTTTAGAGAGGCTGCATGATAGTGCCAAGCTTGACCAGTTCAAAAGTTTTTTTTTCTGTTTCCCCACGGCCCACAGTCCGGTGTGTGCTAACTACTGCTATCCATCGGATCTTCAGAGTATTTGTCGACCCGATAGCATTTAGGGAGTCATAACAGTATCTATAGTAGTTTTGCTCATCGTTGAACACGAGGAAATATTATTTACAAGCTTCCCTAATTATTGCCGTGAGTTTTGTCTAATAGACAGTGCAATAGCCAGGAAGCTTTATTATAAATGGCTTTTAATGAGTAAAACTTCATAATAATCTTCACTACTAAACATTTCACTACTAAACATGATGTTATGCGGCACCCCAATATTATAGAGGATGTGTGTATTAGTGGTATTATAGAGGTTTATTCAAGAAGGAGATGAGAGATACACATGGCAAAAATTAGACATAGAGTTTCATTTTTTAACGCAGGAGCCTGTACTTCCAGGATTCATCAGATATTATCTAAAAAAGTTTATGATACAAACATCAATAAATATTGATCAAATGAAATTTTTAAATCGGGGACTACTAAAAATCCCTAAATTTAAAATCGTAATCAAGAGTCAAACAATTTAATAAAAGTAACAGGGGTTTAAATAAGTTATTGGATCGCAGATAGTTGCCGGTTCCCTTTCCAGAAACCGAAGAAGTAATGAAATTATAAATATAAGATATTTTAGCGATTAAAGGTAATTGTCATCGGAAGTCAGGGTTTGAGTATCATAAGAATGCATGATCATTGATCACCATTCACCATGCCTTATCATCACCCATTCATCTATGTGTTCTATGGCTAGATGAGATGAATATGTCTAATAATGAAGACTATAATATGTGGAACTAGAAGTGACTAATTCCGAAACGGAATTAACAAAAATGGTAAATGTCAGTAGGTCTCTTTCTGGCTTGATAAATAGGCTGTTTCTTATTTAAAACCCGAGTGTCAAATGAAATAATAAAACATTTTTGTTGCATATTCGATAACTTCATTGTCTGAACATGACTCCAGAAGTGTTTTAACGCATAATTAAAAAATGTCAGCATATGCATGTCTCTTTTGCTTCAATAAGGCGTTGGATCAAAATTTTATAGAAGCCTTAATCAGCAAAAACTTGCGTTTGGCTACAAGATAGTGCAGTGCAAGTGTTGAGTAAATATAACGGCAACTATTTATTATTCCCATTTCATCAGGATTTCAGACAATGCCTCTTCAAGAAGAGAGGTGAAAATGTTGCATAAAGCCCTGTATAAGTATAACACATTACCAGCAAGGAAAAGTACAAAATAATCCAGGAATATGTAGATAGTTGGTTAGTTGACAAATGTCATATGAATTTTAATTAAACAATCTGTTATTGTCAATTTTCCTCGCGATATTATTAATATAATATATTATGTAACACTAACAAATCCGACAAAATCAGGGTAAAAACAAAACGGATCTGAGTAACAAACTCAAAATAATGCGCTATAGTAAATCGTAATAAAGTTCAAATACAGTACTTCTCTGAATTTGATGATTTGATTTGCTCATTTAGTATTCTTGTCCTTAAACGAGGAGGGTGAGCATATATAAGGCTTCTTTTGATTCAACCCACTTGTTTAATGTTGACAATGGTTGCTGTAGTGATACTTGTTGCTATAGTGATACCCCGTAATGGTCAAATTGTTGTCTGTTGCATCCCGTTTCCTTCGTTTACCGTGTTCGGTAAGTCCGCTTCTACCACTATGACACCTGAAGTGGAGTGGTAATAAGGTGCACTTTATTCAAATCATTTGGGTAAATATAGCAAAGTGTAACAGACTGGGCAGATGAAAATATTTGAGCAAACATGCCAGGAATTTTTATAATTTGGGTCAAAGAAGCGTGTATTGGGATGTACCTTCCCCAACCCCATACTACGGGTTATTACCGTTGTTAGTGCCAGACCTGCCAGTGTTCGGTGCGAGTACATAAGATATATTCTCCCAGTTGATCTTGGACCAAAGAAACCGTCTAAAACTGGGAACTGTCAAACTGTAGATGTAAAAGTTGCTGATGGTATTGAGGGAGAGAAAGGACACGGCCACCCTGAAGTAGCCGGTGTGGAAAAAACTGTCCGGCTCAAACGAAGATTGCGCAAAACGATATACCGCGTACGGTAACACTGAAAATGAGTAGATAGAAGCCGTAAGAACAGATAACAAGATACCCTGCCATCTTCTCGTGCCTCCACTTCTTTGAGCCACCCTCCTGGCTTTGCAGAGGTACAACACCAGCGGCACAGTAGACATGGCTGTCATGAAAGTGGGCAGGTAAATGAGTATAGAAGTCATTAGTGGAAGGAGCCATCTCCAAGTGGCGGAGTTGAAGGCATAATCGCAGAGGAATATTCTCTGGTCAAACATTACATCATTACTGTCCACGATTAGAAACATTATTGGCAGACCCAGTGAGAAAACCCAAATGGATAAGCACATAATATGGGCCTTCTCGGCGGTAAAAGATCTCTGTTTGTTAGGTGCCTTGAGCAGCAGAAGTCTGCTTGTAGTCATAGCGCAGATGAGCATGATGCTCGCTGAGTTAGCACAGTACACGGCGTAGGGCGCAAAGTAGCACCACGTGCTTCCCAACACCCAATCATCGAACATGAGAGACACCATGACTGGTATAACATTGTTGGTAGCGACCAGTATGTCACACACTGCTATGTGCTGGATCACCACCGTAATAAACTCGTGCAGCCGGAACGCTCGGTACTTTATAGACGCTATCAAGATGGTCGTGTCGCCGATGAGAGAGGAGAGGACGACGAACACGTAGTAGCTAGTCCATAGGTATCTGACACCGTCGTTTGGTATTCCGTAGAGGGTTTTGTTTGAGAAGTTGTTGTTGAGCAGTTCAGCAGGGAGACGACTGTGAGAGGGGATCAGGACTGCCAGGGCTAGGTTGGTTATCCTGCTAGATCCTGTCGTGGGGCAGGTCAGATAAGTACCAAAAGTAAATACCAAAAGTAAACGAAAGTAAGTTCCATATCAAATTACATTATTATAGTTGCGTCATAGAACGATGATCTAAATAACTGAATAGGAATTTGACCCTTCCAAAAGGCATGTGTTGATTCAATAAGGCCTAAAAATAAAACATCGACTAAACAAAGGCTGCTTACTAAACCGCACGGTTGAACGGAGATGCCGAGTAGAATGTCACCTAATTAACATTCTAGTACTCCCGTCTCGCATAACAAGATTCGTAAATATCGGTACGAAATTGCACTCAATACAAACATTACAAAAAGCATCCAAGGAAAATAAAAAGGGAAATTAACGAGGGGGAAAATATAATCGACCTGTGCCAGGTATTAATAATTAGGTTTTATGCCGTTACAGTTAAGCCGACTATCATATTATCGGCAAGGTGTTTATTACGTACGGAAAATTTTGTTGGGTAACTTCCGATATTTTTGTCCATATTATTGGTAGCCCTAGGTGATAGTAAGAAGTGTGCTTAGTTACTATAATTACAGCAAAAATGCAGAGGACGTCATATTATCAAAAAGGATTTCATATTGTCACTGAGTTCATTTTATTTATAAATTTCTAATTTCTATCGATAAATCACATAAGACAATGGCCGACAATTCCCTGGCCGACCTCAACAAAGTCTCAATTATAATAAAGCTGTTCTTATAGAACTTCACGTATTTTCCAGCTTCTTCAGTGACGTGCGGTTAACATACAAAGTACACTACTATGAACATTGTTGTGGCTACTAAATTAATATATATTAGGAAATTATCCAAATTAACTTCACATAAAACCCTGATATTTCTAGCTAAGGGTAATAAAAGACATAGAAAGCAAGAAACCAGCTCACAACTTCAAATTGAAATGCTAAATTTGAGGTATTTTTACACCGGAAGCCAGAATAATTATCTTATTTTTCTAGTAGTAGTACTACATCACGGCAGTCATGTTTGAAGTTTAAAACCACACCAGGTCTAGTACTACATTGTTCCACAAGCTGAGTCCTATTTACTGGGATTAAGCGGGAGAACTCAGAACAAGTACTTTAAAGTTCGACTGCTCACATATTTGGCAGAGTAACGGTCCAGATGACGGGTGCCCTTCAAACCAGCTGCAGATGCAATCTTGCACAAACTGTCTTAACCAGTAACTCTCAATTAATTCACCCACTCTCGCAATTACGTAAGTAAGTTGATTGTCACTGCATGTTGTAGACTGTCTTGCCAACTTATTCGTAATGGTGATGATAACCGCATTTTTCACTGTTAACCGGGTCGTTGTGAGCAGAGATATACGCGTACCAATGGACTCTAGCATTGGAAAATGGGTCTATGTTATTATCTAATCAATTATCGCCTGTCCACTAATGTCTACAATTCTAATATAGACGTAAAATTAAAGAATTCCTGGCGAAAGGACGATGCGAACAAATAGTACGTAGACAGATTTGCAATGTTGCTGAGCGCAATAGCAGATGTATTGACAGATTTGAGGACTGGGGGTTCAAAATATACGAATCAATTCAAAGTTGAATTAGGTCAATGCTACAATAGTATATTCAAAGTCTAGCATGTAGATCATATTGACGCTCAGTCAGTTCAATGACGTTGAGGGGCAACTTTTTCACCGACTTGCAAATTGTTAAGCATATTTCATGGCTATATATCCTACTTCCTGTCTCTTATCCAGCTCCGGTTAATTTTCGACCTCTAATTCTGTAAATTCCACCAAAACAAGCCCTGATCCTACAACGGATCGGAATTTGAGTCGGCTCCTAGTTTCTTAGGTAGGATTCGATGAAAGCTCATGTTATGCGTTATGTAGCGAGAAAACGCTCAACATAAAACCAACGCTCATGTATAGTAGGGTTTTTTATACAACTGGCTGAGCTGAGAACGAAACAAAAGCCAGGAATTCTTGACGAGAGGATTAGGAGAAACCCAGGATTCATGGGCAGTGTTGGAAGCTGTATCAGTCAAAGGGCTAAGGACTGGTTTGCTTTGTGGACAACCTAAAGTCTAATTATTATGCACAAGTCCGGTTGCCCTGTTAACTTTTCCAATTTCTTGGAAGCTAAGTGATGTTATCGTACGACCTCTCCCTGAACTAATAATCGAATTAAAGCCAAATAATTTGTTCAAACACATCTAAAATCTATGACTTTATCTATACAAAAATTCATGGACGTTCGATAACATTTTTACAACTTCGTCCGAAATTGCTGTGCAAATTCTTCTCCTAGAGAAATATGAGAGAGGCAATTGTTAAACTTATTTTTGAAAAACTCTATCTTCAGATTGGGCCGAAATTTGTCGAACGAATCTCCTAATGCTTACAGCTTAAACGTCGTTAGTCCAATTTATCTAATTCTTTTGCGGTGAATTACCCCAACTTTGACCGGTCGGCTCAGTGCCCGCTCAGTAATTTAGATTCCACCTTGTACAACGTCAAATTCCTCAACGAATTCTTTAATTCCGCGTTTAATATCAGAAAATTATCAGAAGTTGAATGTTACTTCATCTGACTGCTGTTAGAGGCTTGTCAGCTGGGAGACAGCGGTGTTTCACTGTCAAGAGCTGACTTTTGTTCTATTGATCTGGATGAAGAATTACAAGATGTTTGGAGAATACTATGATAGTATAATTACAAGATAAAGCAATTGGCGTTGATTTTGATCTTTATTAAGTTTAACTGCATTATAATCACCAATTTACCAACAAATTCTGCATCGAAGCATTTATATTAATATACTCTTGTCGAAGCAAAGAATTTACCGCTAAAACTATGACCTTATTAAGATAAATTTAAAGCTGTCAATTCTCGGAGAAAAGTTTAAAATCTCTGATCTACAAGTGCTACTGAGATCCCATCTCGAGAATCACACAGATTTAAACAGATTTTAACAAAAAATCTGCAACTAAAACAACAGCATCAAACGCTCAGGAAACCAGAAAATTCTAGAATAATAATAATGTAACTATAACAGTATAAGTATTAGTAATAAAACTGCATACGACTATCACGAGGAGTGTTATATAACTTGTAATCTGTAATAATAATGAAGAGTTGAAGTGTTAAATAGCGACCCGGGCAGTGTACCCTTAACTGAAAGTAAACGAACAGAGCAGTAAAAATTAGAGTTCTCGCGGGCTTTATCGTGATCTACGCAAGTTAGGAAGACTGAAATAGTGATGTGTAATGAAGTGGGTGTATGAGAGTAATATGATGAAGAGTACACAAAACAATGTTTCGAGGCCTGATCTCCAGCTAGAAAAGTTGGGTTATGATGACGACGCTGGCCCTGAATGTGGGTTTTTAACAATCTCGCTCCTATTGTCTCTTTTTTCCCACTTTTATTGTCTCTACAAATTCCCGGTATGTGATATAATTACGCTCCAAAGCCTTGTGAATTTAGATTATATGTATACATATCTGCTAAATAATCCTAATGCTAGTGCATGGAAAACCCCAATGATATAATTCATAGAAAACATGCTAAGTTACAGTAGTGCCGGAGCAATGTAGAATCTGGAGATTCAAGTTCTGTACCTTTCAGTAACAGTGTGAACTATAAAAGTAGTGTCTAGCTGGAAACCTAAGAGGCTGCACTCGGATGAGTGCTTGAATTTTTAAACTTTTGAACGTTTAGCTCCTGTAGCCTATTTACTGCCTTGCGCATGTGTTTCGCCAAAATTTTGGCTGTTTACCGAAATATTTTAGTGGAGTCATATATTACAAAATTCAGTCTCCAAGTTAAGAACTCTTTTTACTTTAAAAAGAAGCCACAAAAATTCACGAGAAGACATCGAAAGGTGTGAAAGCCTTAATTTCAATGTTTTGGAGATTTGAGCGATGCTTAGTTGTTAGTCTCAGGATATAACGTAGAGAAGACCAAGACAAAACAATTTATGAATGTCATTGTCGTTCGATATTACAGGTTTCTTGGCCGAAAATTCCTTTAAAAATGAAGTCTGATATTTCTCAGCTCAGAAACATTTAAAAAAAAGACTTGTCGTGAATGACAATTATAATTAATTGATCTAGATCATAGACATTCATATTATAATCACTCTTATAATATCTATATTATAATTTAAACTTGACGAAATTTCCCCGGCAACGGGGACATAGAAGAAAAAACACCGAAAATCGACCTCAAAATGACCCTCTGGTGAAATCAAACCCAGCTCGCAAATGGAGTTGAAACCTCGCCATTTTTAGCAGGGTTGTAGAAAAAGGATAGGAATAGGCTATAGCATTCTTAGAATTTTGATTTAGGCTTTAGATTTTTTATAATTACCGTCGGAAGTGAGGTAAAATAACCGTTAGAATAATGTCGTTATTTTAGCAAAGGTTTACTGCGCTGTTGCGTAGCAACGTTAAAATGCACGTGCGCGAGCAAGATCATCTTAACTACGCGCGTTGTTATGCTGTATGCTACGTCATAATTTCAAAACTAGCTCACATTTACGCTCACGCTATGACTTATATTCATAACTTTGGTTGTGATTGGTATTTTTTGATGCGGTAAAAAGTATCGTTTTGGGAATCCGAATACTAACAACGCTGTCGCCATTGTTAGATAAATTCCATTATGTCTACAGTATAACAGAGCTATATGATGAAGAGAAATTAAAACATAACTGATTTTTAAAATTTCCTCGAACAAAGCGTCCTATAGTGTCCTTTAATAAAATTTTCGACTACAGCGGATTTCAACGCGCGGTGTTATGCTGTAAGCTACGTCAGAATTTCACAACTAGCTCACATTTACCCTCATGACGCTTTATACCTATATATATTTATAACTTTGGTTGTGATTGAAATTTTTTGATGCGGTAAAAAGTATTGTTTTGGGGCTATATGATGAAGAGAAATTAAAATATAACTGATGCTTAAAATTTCCTCGAACAAAGCTTTCGACTAGCGGCGGGTTTCTAGTACCTTATAATCTACTCTGTTATTTGTGACCATGGGAGTGTATAACCTGAAATTAACTGATTGATAGTAGACAGACTTGGACCGGGTTTGTAGTATCATACTCAGTGCAACAGCTAACCACGGACTTACTTATCCCGGATCATTAGATCAGCTTAATTCTGGACTTTTTCCAAATCCAATCAACTTATTTCCGGCTGGATTTCCATTTGTTTTGATCGAAAGTCGAAGTTTGATTAACGCTCAAACATTTCAAAAAATCTATCGAAATTATTCAG